ATTTATCCTGTGTTTTCTTTTCTACATAATATACCTTACAGATCAGTGCAGGTAATTTCCGAATCATGTTAAAAGAAAGGTTAAATGTTAGTATAACACATTTGTGTCTTTAAAATCATGGTCAATGAAATAATTACACCTCAAAGAAAAATTAAAAGATATTTTAAGTTTAATATATAGGTCTCATCACTAAACAAGTCTTTATACAAGATTAAATAAATAATCTAAAAAAGTTTTGAATGCATTTAAAGAGACTAAGGATCAACACAAAATGACAAAAGCCGTGACAAGGACAAGTATAGTGTTTGTAAGTAAACACACCCACCTATTTCGATCAGCGGAGTAACACAATTATAAAATAAATCAGAGGAATTATTGTAGGTCAGATAAAAAATATCTATTCAAAACCGGAATATAAAAAGCGGTTAAAGGGAAATTATATATAATACAGAACCAAAGTATGCCCGAGTGTACCATGGTTACATAAAAGCAAAGTGATATTAATTTACCTACTTTTAAAACGAATTATCGTATTGTAATTTGTTGTAATAACGTCTTAGTTGAAACTGAAATGCGCAGTCTCATAGACTCGAAAATGAATTTGTATTAGAAATAAAGGCAACATTTTCATCTCATATCAAAATAGAAATATGCAAATGATATGCAAATAGATGGTGTTCTCCCAATATGCATTGATTTAAATTAAACAATATAATGAACTACATCAAGTCTATTGAATCAACAAAAAAATTGATAAAGTACAGTGAAACGAATTTTATACAAAAAAAAGTAAAATCACAAAAATACTGAACTCCGAGGAAAATTCAAAACGGAAATTCCCTAATCAAATGGCAAAATCAAAAGCTCAAACACAGCAAACGAATGGACAACTGTCATATGACTTGGTACAGGCATTTTCTTATGTAGAAAATGGTGGATTAAACCTGGTTTAATAGCTAGCTAAACCTCTCACTTGTATGACAGCCGCATAAAATTCCATTATATTGACAACGATGTGTGAACAAAACAAAAAGATATAATAGGAAAAACTGTCAAAAATAGGGGTACAGCAGTCAACATTGTATTATAATTTTAATCACTATAAAAACAAACAAATAAGCATGTAAATGGTCGCATTGAACATAAAGTACAGATACAAATGTATGCAAGCTAACGATTTTTCTATACCTGTGCATTGACATATGAATTTTATGGATTTAAATAGTTAATGAAAGGAAAATCCCAACAAAACATTTAAAACTCCCAAAAAGTATTGACATTGTGTACATAGATTGCATTTAAAAAAACTGTTTGAATACAATTAACGATTAACCAATAAGAACTTTACAATGTTGATTCAATCAGATGTTGTTGGTTCAAGGGAAACATTTGTATAGCGTCTATTTTCTATCATGTATAATAAATAATTTGTAAATATAGTAGATTTCCTCATACTGTCCTATACGCAAAACATATTAATGATGATGGCATGATATCTTGATGTTTTTTCATTATATAGTTTGAGGATATTATATGGAAGCTTTCATTGTATGTATATATTAAAAGATCTCAGAAATTATACTTTCTGCACGCATTAATGCTAATCTGATGTTTTTTATGATTTTTTGTATTCTTAATATTTGTTTAATTCATTACCAACAAAGAGACCAATATAAGTTGTCATTACCGAAAAAAATAAATCTTATAATAGATAAATACATGCGATGTATATACATGTTTACAAACAGAGTGAGTTATGACGAGATTTCTAAAGAAGACAACTGAAAGCAATTTAATATTTCCTACCGTTGAGTCAAAATGCATCTACATGCTAGAAGAGAAGGCTTTGAAGACCTTTATTTTGGCTTTGCCATTTTTGCTTTAATATTTTATAACAATAGATCGTTGCCCATGTATATATTTTCAATTAATGGAGGCGACCTCTTCCTGGCTAATTTGCTTTCTCTCGAAATATTCTGTCGTAAAGTTTTCAGAAATATTTTTCGGTCATAATAGGGACGTTAAATCCGATGTCTTGTGTAGAGAAAGTGCCATGCTCTGTATACGTTGAGAACCCTTGTTATTAATCCTAGATAGGTCATATGTGGGCTGTTAGAAGGCAAAATATATGTCCCTATCCAATATAGCCTCTTTGTCCCGTTGCAGTCTAAATTTCCCCGACCTTCATCCCTGTCGGCCTCGATTACAAGACCTTCCTATTGTATGAACTGTAAATATGTTCTTGTCCTGAACATGCAGACAATATTTTCCACTGGACGTTAATCAACCAACAATCAATCCACCAAATATCTAATTCTTTATCCGGATTTGGTGATGCTTTAGGGTTAAATTATACTAAAAGTTTTTATTAGGTTTTGAATTTTCAACTGTACCTTGGTTGGTTTAGTTTCACGATTATTTACCCCTGATACTAACAACTGTTTAGTTAAGGTCTTCAAACAATTGTGTTTCAGGATATCTTCCTTATTTACTTAGAGGAAAGAAATTTTATAACGATCAAGTGCTCGCGTTTGATTTTGTTCTGTTCCCGTTAATCTAGTAAGAATAGTAAATGATCCAGTGCATATTTGTACGACACATCAACCAACGGGAAAAAAACGATCAGAGTGTTTTCTAAATACTACTGGGAGCAGTATAGCGTGTTCTATGCATTAAATTTTGAGTAAAAATTATTCTTCACACAAAAAACAACAGATAAGTCAGGAACTTGTTGTTCAGTGGTTGTTGTTTGTTGATGTGGTTCATAAGTGTTTCTAGTTTCTCGTTTTTCATATAGATTAGACAGTTGGTTTTCCTGTTTGAATTGTTTCAAACACACTAGTCATTTTGGGGCCCTTTATAGCTTGCTGTTCGGTGTGAGCCGAGGCTCCGTGTTGAAGGCCGTATTTTGACCTATAATTGTTTTCTTTTAACACATTGTGACTTGGATGGAGAGTTGTCTCATCGACACTCATATCACATCTTCTTATTTCTAGATAAAATAAAAACAATAAAAAACTCGACTTGCATTTTAACATACGGTCTCCAACAGGAGAATAATGTATAGATAAGAAACAAATATGAATATAACAACGACTTGTCATATAGGTAGCTTTATTTTAGAGTATGGTTCATACAGCAACCGCATAAAAAAGGAAAAGTCAAATTTTGTTCGAGCCATGTGTTTTAAAGATTTCGTGAACAAATTTTGCCACTGGACGTGGAACAACAAACAATCCTTCAATCCAAATTTTGACATGTTTACTGGGTGTGGATTGGTATAACGAGCGATGAATATATAGCAGGAGACGCTCACACTGGCGTTGCATCCCGTCTCACTCCTCATTTTTTGTTTATGCTTGTTTTGTATATTGTTGGAAAGGATCTGAACATCGGTAAAAAATAATGTTCTCGACATCAAAGATTGCGTGTTTTAACACAGTCTGTTAACAATACTGGTCGAGTACATATTATCGTTTTCTTGTTGAGTTACTCTCCAGCACCAATTAATGACCGCACATTTTATGTGGAGGCTATAATTCTACAAAATTTGTTTTCTTTTGCTAAGTGCAAGTCTATGGGACAGAGTAACGCATGTGACAGTTTTCTTATGAACACTATAAACACCGTGTACATTAACATTTTAATAAAGAATGATCAGAAAGTGTCATCAAAGTCATAATAGTTAATTTAATATATCGAGTTTTGTATGATGAATCATTACCTTTACTCATCGATATGACAGGTAGACATAACCTTTTATTTTTACCATGTACTATTCAGATAAATCATATTTTAAGTTGTTCCAAAATTCTGATATAGATGCTTCAATTAAACCTTTATATATAAAATTATCCTGTATTGCATACCCTGAAAAAAAACCTTGTTAATAACAGGTCATTTAATTTCACGTTAAGATATATTGATGATTTTCTTCCCATTAACAATCAAAACTTTTCTGATTGGGTTCCATTAATATTTCCTTCAGAACTAGAAATTAAATAAACAACAGACACGGCTTCCTCCGCCTCATGTTTAGACTTATACTTTGAATTTGACATTAGCGGTCATGTCAGTACCAGAATATATGACAAACAAGACGATTTTAAATTTGAAATTATAAATTTCCCCCACCTTAACAGCAATATGCCAACATCACCTGCATATGGGATATACATTTCCCAACTCATTCGGTATTCAGCAGCTTGCGGCTGCTACTCAGACTAAATAAAAGTTGATGAACCAGGATTATGTCCAAGAATGTCTCGCTTTTTTTCTGAAACAGGTCATTGAAAGATACCAAGACCTAGTTGATAAATATATATTAACTTTACAAATGATACATGATGGTCTTAAAGTATGGATTCTCGGTACTATCATCTTCATTACGTGTTATAGTGTTCTTTTTATTTGCCATTGTATATTATTAAACGTTACTGTGAAGTTAAGGTTTGGTAATATACTTTTGACATGGCTCGGTATTTATACATCCCGCCACATTGTGTTATTGTGCTTTGGTTTGTAGTCTTATCTTTCATTTTTCCTTATGTACTTGATCTGTAGAATGTTCATATGCCATTCTGTTTTTCTTTGTGGAACTAGTTATTTGTTCTTATAGTGATACATATTGTTGTCAAGATAGTGGAATTCTATGCGACTTGCATGAACATGAGAGGTTTAGCTAGCTATAAAAACAGGTTTAATCCACCATTTTCTACATAAGGAAATGGTAGTACCAAGTCAGGAATATAACAATTGTTTTTAATTCGTTTGATGTGTTTGAGCTTTTATATTTGTCATTTCCGTTTGAAGTTTGCCATGGAGTTCGTGAATTTTGTTATTTTACCTTTTTCGCATATCCTGTTTACTATCCCAATGCATGTTTAAATATACGGACGCATGATCAAATGTGTATAGAATGCTTTTTTTTATTACTTATTACGAAATATGCTTTAATTTGTTGAGATTGTACTAATCGTATTGAATATTAAGATTCACAATTGGTAGTTTTAATTGTCATGCATTCTTAATTTTATACATGTATCTTTTCATATGAGATTTAACAATAACTATCATATTTGTGGTCTGCATCATCATAACATCTGGTTGAAGCAAAATTGGACTTAGAAGTTTCAGCGTGATGGCTGGTAAGTTGTATATAAACTGAAATAAAAGTTAATGGGATATATGTCAATAAAGCAACTATCGATAAAATAATAAAAGCCCCGCCCCCCTAAAAAATATCTTTTATAAAAGACCTGACTCATATCGATACACAGTTTAAAAAAACTAAAAAAAAACACTTTGTGTAGAGGGCCGTATGATTGCCTACAATTGCTTACATCAACTTCATTTGAACTCCTGTAGATAGTTGTCTCATTGGCAATCATACCTCATATCCTTATATTCCCTTACTAACGTCTACTTCATTATTTTCTGATTAGTTTCTTATTGGATTTGCGGTTATACTTCCCTCATTTTAATATTTTTATAAAGAAACAAAGTACCAATCTAAGAGTATTCAGTTACTGAAAGCTAGTTCATAGCCAAAAACTAATAAAATCATACATCCTAGACAACATATATATCCTAGACAACATGTATATCCAAGACAACATATATATCCATGAAATATTTGTATCCAAGACAACATACATATCCAAGACAACATATATGTTTAAGACAACATATATATGCCAGATAACATATATATATATATATATCAGTATACATCAAATGGACGTCATATGCAATGATGTTGATGTTGATGTTAATTGTTAATTGTAAATTAATCCAACGATTACATTGAGTCATAACAACAACGATGGCAGGTATTATTAATTTTTGTTCGGACATTACTTTAATGCGCACTTGTTAACTTTCAGAAATATAAAAACGTCGACCATTACATAAGTAAGTTAATTTAGGGATCAGCTGAAGCCCGCCCTCGGGTTGGGAATTTTCGCGCTACGTTGATGACCCATTGGGGGCCCTGGACTGTTTTATGCTACTTGGTCGGGTTGTTGTCTTTTTGACACATTCCGCGTTTCCATTCTCTATTCTAATATAAGACCTTCGCTTATATACGGTGTATGGCTGCTCAACCAGTCTTCGGAATGAAATATTAAAAAAATGCAATTAAAGTGGATCAATCATTGAAATAATAGTTAATATTTCTTCATTGTAAGTTACTTAAATATTGAATTTACCGACGAGTGTTTAAAATAAGGCATTACCACCAATGGTGCGCACAAAAATACAAAAGAAAAACGACATATTTTCGAAATAACGTTTTCCGAAATATCTAAAGTAACTAATCGGTTATTTAGTAAAAAAAATAATCTTATTTTGTCCATAATGTTAAAAAAATTTGATATATGGAGGGAAAGAAGAAAAAAACAATATTTATACAAAATGTTGGTGTAAATTTCTATACATTTCAATTTTTTATATATCAAAATATGTAATATTTTTCAAAGGCTACACTGTATCAATCGATAACTATGTATTCAATCTATTGTTGTTTTTCTTTTAATTTTCTTCCGTAGAGTAACATTCTTATGTGTTTCTATTCTGTAATTGGTTTGTTCTTTTGTTCGTTTGTTGTTGTGCTGTAGCCCTTTTTGTATTTCTAATCTTTCATTTTTGCTTATGTGCTTTGTCTATATGCCATGTTTTTCTTTGTTGACATTTTTGTTTGTTTTTATATTGATTAAGATTATATAACACAATGTTGACTGCTGTACCCCTATTGTTGACATTTTTACCTATTATGTCTGTTTGTTTTGTACACACATTGTTGTCAATATAATGGAATTTTATATGACAGTCAGTGAGAGGTTTGACTAGCTATAAACCAGGTTTAAACCAAAATTTTCGACATTACGAAATGCCTGTACCAAGTCAGGAATACGACAGTTGTTTTCCATTTGTTTGATGTGTTTGCTGTTTTGATTTTGCCATTTGATAAGGGACTTTTCGATTTGAATTTCCCTTGGAGTTCGTTATTTATGTTATTTTTGTTATATTACTTCTTGTTTTTTTTATGCCTACTTGTTTTTCTTTTGTGATAATTTAGTTAACCAACGTATAAGATATATTTAACAACCTATAGCTATTGACATCATACATTGTTAAAATAACATCGAAACAGATACATTTTGGCAAAACTATTTTTAAAGGCTCATGATTGTAAACCAAACTATGTTCGAACATAATCCATTAAACATAACGATATGTTTAAGAGGCAAGTGAGTTTGTCAATGTGATAATAGCTTAAATCTTTTAGAAGGCACAATTATGAATAAAAGAAAAAATCGGGAGAAACAAAGTGTCAGTCAAAATTCGTATAAGTCGAAGAGAAAACATCGCATGGCTAAAATGAAAAACAACATTTTAAGGTCTTGGTTTGATTTGTTTCAGAAGTTATAAAATTAATGCCTGGTTCGACGGATACAGACTGGATTACCAAATCGGTATGGTGAACATTTTATTCAAATTCATTTTTTTATGTTTTATTGTAAACTCCAAGGAAGCCAATAACGAGTTAAATGTTACAGCAGAAATAAAATGTATAAAAGTACGTGCTGGTCCAACAACTGAATACTTCATATTTATGGTAGTTTAAACAGAGAAGCAGACGATACTAAAGGGACATTAAAACTAACATGCAGAAGACAAACATACGACTTTAACTATGGCGAAAAGACAACCACCGCATACAAATGTAACGATTGAGTAACACGAGTCCTACAAAAAAAACATGGTTGATGTCAAGTCCTCTATAATAATATGCACACTCAGTTCCATAGCGACGACCTAACATGTTGTCATTATCTTAAAATATACAAATAAATGCACAATAAAAATAACGCCTCTTTCCTTAGTAATCACATGTTTATCTGTACAATTTAGTGACGCACCACGTGACATTTAACATTCAACATTGATTTGTCTCTTAGAAAAACAGAAATGATATCGTTATTATAATTAAAAAAAATAGTTCTTTAAATAAACAAATTGAGCGAAAAATTATTGAACAAGTGACCAAACTTCTGCATACTAATATAATGATAAGTCTTAAAACATATAGCTTTAAAGTTCATTTGTAGGGGTTTTGTGATTTATCTCCTTCTTTTTTTTTTAAACCAAAATAGATTTGCAATATTTAATAGAAACTTTACTATATTGTTTAATGTTAACACGAGAGAGATATCCTTTTAATATAAGTAAAGAAAAACCATCTCTATCGGGAATTTCTTTGAAGTAAAACTATATTGTCTACTGTTTGCCTTAAAATAAACTATTTCATTAAACTGCATCAAGTTATCTCTTAAACGTTCGTAACAGATTTTCGATTACCAAATATTTTTGGCTCAAACCTCACCAAAGGGACATTATTTTTCAAAATGCACATCTGGTGCAATAAGATTTGTACCGTTAAAGATATTACAGATGATCAATAGATATGGGGTTATTTCATATCATTTATTTCCAAAGTTTTCACGCACCGTCTTGATAGAGATGCATGTATGTCTTTTCCAGGAATCGGAATCTGAAGATGAGGGTCGTCGGAAAACAAAGAACTTGGTAAGTACATCCCGCCCTAAATATCTTTGAAATATCAAAACTTTAAATAAAACAATAGTTATTTAGTCAATTTAAATACAAATGATGTTCAGGTACTTTTTTCCCAACCTGGGTAATACTAAATACTTTAAAACATTTCAACCATTCCTGGCCATCATTTATTCTATCGTCTGACGGATTGACTTTCAGCAATGAAAGAACCATTCCTGGTATTCATTTTTTTCTATCGTCTGACGGATTGACTTTCAGCAATGAAAGAACCATTCCTGGTATTCATTTTTTTCTATCGTCTGACGGAATGACTTTACCACTTATTTCTATCTAGCGTCTGACGGATTGACTATTCTAATCGGTTATCAGGCCATTAGATTTCTCGTTTGATTTGTTTTATATTTGTCATTTCAGTGCTTTTTATAGCTTACAAGGCTGTATGGGTCTTGCTCATTGTTGAAGGCCTTACGATGATCTATAATTGTTAGCTTCTTTGTGTTTTAATCCCTGGTGGAGAGTAGTCTCTTTTGCAATCATACCACATCTCTTTAATTTTTATTTAGTACAGGACTGACTACAAATGGACAACTGAACTCATAGATGAACCACATTACCAAACTATTCATTCATGTATAGACCTGAGCATTGTATTGTTATGTTTCTTTGGCTGCGTCAGTCCATGAGCTAATAGTATTAACATAGTAGAATAACGTGTTGTTAAATAGTATTTGTTAAATCATTTTTGCTGCCTGAATTAAAGATATGACGGAATAAAACAATTCAAAAGAAAAATATGGTTCATTAATACAAAAGGTATAAACAAAATAGAAGATTGCATACAGCTACACACGTCAACCATAAAATAACAATATCTTAAGACAGACACATAAATAGGACGTTAACCGCATAATAACAGTATCATGGGACAGAAAATAGATAGGACGTCAACCACAGATTAACAGTCTCCTAGGTCAGGCACATGCATTGTTTAGCCGAGTGTAAATTGTGTGTGAGGGCTCCACTCTTACTTACCTGCAAGACCGTTGTAATTGCACAACATAATAACAACCTGTTACAATCAGTTGGATAGGACTTATTTAACTAATCATTAGCACAATCACTAAAAAATAAACCATAAAATTACAATATATAAGAGGACTTGGTATTTAAAACCTTCAACTTATAAATAAACCAAGTGTACAAAGACATTCATTGATTGGTTTTACCAACTTTATATTGAAAAAACTTCTTTTAATTTCTTGTCATATATGATGTAGAAATTCTCTCAACAAAATATAATCAAGACCAAATTTTTTTCAATAAATTCAATTATTGCTTAACTTTTGGTGTAATTTTATGTTGTAACTTTGGTGTTACACAAAAGCCATAACAAACGTTATACTAGTATATTGTGACCCTTGTTCGTACTTTTAAGCTTAAATTTAAAATAAGTTGGATTTACAATTCAGAGAGAAATTCAGTAAAGGAGAATACTCCTAATTTGGTAACAGATAGAAGTGTGTCCTTAGATGTGCTGTAATAAATAAATACAACACAACGTTGCCCATTTGAATTTTTATCATTTGTAGAAAATTTTTATCAACAGAATTCAGTAGATACAGATACAACCTTGACCTTTTTAATAATATGTTCTCATAAACTATGGAGATTGTTGACCCTTCTGAATGTCTCTGATAAAAAAATAAGTATTTATATTGTTTTAATAGCCTTATGTTGTAATGTTTAAGCTTATATATTTTAAACAGGAAATTCAAGGCCATACAAGTGTTGGTGGGAGGATGTTACATTGTAAAACCTTCTATGGTTACAAAATTACAGATTTAAAAAGACAGTATTTTGAAGGTATTGGAAATACTTATATATATATTATAAATATATGGTGGGTTTGAATTGCAATTATATACTTGCTCTATTTCTCTGAGCTTTCAACCATTTAGATTGACATCTTTCTTTGTCCGACTATTCTGAAACACAGTAGATTCTATAAAGTGACATGGCAATGATACATCTCGGCATTTCATCTTTTTTATTGACCTTACATGATGAAAATGTTTTTCACTTTTACATGAGATTTTTCAGTTGAGCTGAGAAGACAATAGCTATACATGGTTATATTACACTACTAGCATATGAAAATAAACAGCAACAATATATTAAGATTGCGCTTGCAAGTTCTTGTCCTTCCGTCAGCGGGATTTTCTGCGACACAAGAGATGATTTCAGCTTCCCAATTGTGAACTTTCCAATTTTATGCCGCAACATTCCAGCAACACCTGCATACGGAGTATATATCTCCCAGTTGATACGATATTCCAGGGTTGTATTTCCTATCATGATTTCCTTGGTAGAGGGTTGCTGCTCACAAGGAAGCTTTTAAACCAAGACTGCCCTACAGATATGTTCCAATTGTCGTAACTACAATCTCGGCCCCTTTTCCCCGAATATGACATACCGAATTAGACGTATCACTTGTTTTGTATTGACATTAGCAACACGAAGGGTGCCACATGTGGAGCAGGATCTGCTTACAATTCCGGATCACATGAGATCACCCCCAGTTTTTGGTGGGGTTTGTGTTGCTCAGTTTTTAGTTTTCTAAGTTGTGATTTGTGTACTGTTCTTTGTCTGTGTGGCTTTTTCTTTTTTTAGCCATGACGTGTTCGGTTTATTTTCAACTTGTGAGTTTGAATGTTTTTTTGTCATCTTTCGCCTCTCTTTTAAATCGGTATTATATTAAAAAATTGAATATAATGTGCTTTGTTAATTGTCCAAGAGATTGGACAAAGTGATTTGATACATTACAAAAGTCTTTGACTTATTTGTACTGAAGGGTTCAAACAGTGTAATTCTTTACAAAGTTTTATTTAAAAAGAGTAACTTGACAATGATATATGTTCTAGAGGAACATTTCCAATTGTAAATAAAGCATAATTGATTGGGCAAATGTATTGTAGTATATAAGCAAACCAAACTGCATTTTACGAAAATTCAAAATGGATTATAAAAAATATGAAAGGATATTTATAATTCAAGATTAGGATGAAAGCCACTGTGGACAGTTTATATAATTACAATACCGAAGAAACATTTGCAATTTTTAATTATCATCAAAAGTTGAAGTTTCCGTACAAACTTAGTAAATTACAACACTAGGAACAGTAGACTGCCTGTTATATTTGGACTTACATACTTCTTATATTTGTGGAAAGTCTATGACAAACGAGACGATTTCAATTTCGAAACTTTAAATTTCTCCCACCTTAACAGCAATTTACAAACTTCAACGCATATGGAATATACATTTCCCAACTCATTCGGTATTCAAGAGCTTACAGCTGCTACTCAGTTTATAAAACGTCACCAGTGGCTGAGCAGAGAATTAAGGAATCAGGTTTATGTCAAAGAATGTCGCGTCCTTTTTCAAAAAAAAAAATCCATCGGAAGATACCAAGACCTTGTTGATAAATATTCCTTTTCACCTTCACAAATAATATGATGGTCTTGAAGTGTAGATTCTAGTTACTGACGTTGTTTATCGTCTCAATTACGTGTAACATTGTTCTTTTTATGTGTCTTTGTATATTTTAAACCTTTACTGTTAGGCCATTTTTGGTAATATCCTTTTGGCGTGGCTCAGTATTTATACATCCCTACATTGTATTATTGTGGTATGGTCATATTTGTATTCTTGTCTTTCATTTTTGCTTATGTACTTTGTCTATAGAGTATCTATAGTCCATTTTGTTTTTCTTTGTTGACAGAGTTGTTTTTTTTATAGCGATTGCGATTAGACCACAATATTGACTGCTGTACCCCAATTTTTGACATGTTTACCTATTTTGCCTGGTTGTTTTGCTCACACATTTTGTTGTCAATACCATTGAGTTCTATGCGACTGTCATACAAGTAAGAGGTTTAGCTAGCAATATTACCAGGTTTAATCCACCATTCTACACAAGGAAATGCCTGTACTAATTCAGGAATATATCAGTTGTTTTCCATTCGTTTGATGTGTTTGAGCTTTTGATTTTGCCATTTGATAAGGGACTTTCCGTTTTGAAATTTTATTGGAGTTCGGTATTTTTGTTATTTTACTTTTTATGAACATTCAAGCTATTCATACTAGTTGTAATTTGTTTTTGTTATTTTTTATAATGAAATATTATAAAGTACATTGAAGTCATTCTCTTAACTGTTTGGATTCACTTTACCACCTACAAAGAGTCCTCAAGAATATTTACATAATATACACGTGTTTCAGTTGATTAATCTTTATATTTCTAGGCGATTGTGGTATGTGTATAGTTGAGTTCGGAGATGGAGACAGAAAAAGGTAGAGGTTTTGTTGTTTCTTAATAATGTTCACCGAAAACGAATGTTATAAATCCTGCATTTGATTAAAATAAAACTTTAAAGTCTGTTGGTAATCTTAAATGATAGTCCTGAGAATAAAAATGACAACTGGATGTACCGTATATCGGGTTTTTTCGCGTGTGATTAATTTTCGCTTTATTCGCAGCTACTAAAAAACGCGAAAATTTGACCCCGCGTAAATTTCACTGCAAATTGAAAGATTTATCGTTGTTCGAAAGTTTCATACATTATACTGTAAATTACCGAGTCTTTTGTGTTGTTTGACGGATCCCAAGAATGGGCATACTTAATAAAGATCTCTGTTTTCATAATAATTATATTGATTAATCATACATGCCACACCTTTTGACAACGCAGCAATCAGTGACATGTTAAATAAAATTGAGAATGGAAATGGGGAATGAGAATGGAAATGGAGAATGTTAATCTATTGATTTGTGTCATAATCCGAACATTTTGCATGTAATGTAAAAATAAAATGAAAATAATTCACATTTACATGGATTTTTGTATATCTGTAATGATCAAAACCTTCAAGTTTTAGCATGCTCCAATGTACATAATTTATGTTCCATAAAAGTTCTCTGAATTACGTGTATTTTTGTTTGTATTAGTCATATTTATTTGTATTCGATTTCCTGTCAGTTACACAAGTTTATGTTGTTTACATCTTTATCAATACGATATAGTTATTTTTTCGCATGTATTTCTCATTCAGCAAAAATTATACACAGTGTAAATTTAACCTGCCCATTTTGTCATCAAATCATGTAAAAAAGGCCGACGCGGTATATGTAAGACAATATAAATAAAAGTAATATGACACAAAGTACAACCTTACAGAGAAGACAATGAAGCAAAGATGAGCACCATCCGTTCCGCGGGTCATGAATTTATAGTTTTAAAATGAAAATGTAACATAGAAAATGAACGAAAAATTCACAAAATCATCGTTACGTAAAATATGAAATGAAAAACATGAAATAAAAATTTTATTGCTATAAAACCAAAAACTTAGTTCAATATACCATGTTCTTGTAGAGTCTGTCTGGTTAAATTGATTGATTGATTGGTGATTGCTTTACGCCTCATCAGCACAAAACGGCTATATCGCGGCAAGAGCTATTTCAAATATTATAATATATATATATATATAATTGTTTTTAATCAGACATGAAGTCCTTCAATTTACTAAAACTTTAGTTTAAAGCGAAAATACTTATTTACAAATAAAAATTCACCAACTAGATAACATGATAAAAACTTAAAATCATTTTAAACTAATGCAACAAATTCATATAGCATAAACGATTCGTTGAAATTCTTCACGCACGTTTTAGACCCATAAGTTCTTAATGGTAAAACATTGTAGGTTAACAAAATACACATCCAGTAATGTCAAAGATACCCGTTCACGTCTACTTAATTTGACATAGTACAAGATCACCTGTATGAATGTGTGAGCTTTATTAACACACACAGAACTCATTGTTATATCACATTTTGAGAAGGGACTGACACTGATGAAGGCTATTTGTTGGTCCGAAATATCTGTCAATACGATTTCATTCCATCTTTTTTATATCTTTATCTTTTATCAATATCGTTGCACAAATCCTAAAACTTATATATATATAGGAATACGTGACTTGGCTGCTGGATCCCGTTTGTTGTCACGATAACAAATTATGTCTGTTTGGGTTGCTAATCCAATTTTGTTGATAAAGTGGAAGGTTTAGCTAGCTACTAAACCAGGTTAAACCCACTATTTTCATCCGAAAATGCTTGTTTCAAGGCAGGAATATGACTGTTGTTTTCCTGTCGTTCCGTTGTTTAATATAGTCGAGCGTTTGGTTTTGTCAAGTTATATGGACTTCAAGTTGGAGTTTGGTATTTTTGATAAACGAAAGTTACATAAACCGTTGACGTGTCTCATATTTGCTAATCGAGAAGTAGATGACAGATTGAAACTAATGGAAGAAGTCATATCTTTTGCAAGTAAGTATATGCAAAGCTTTCTAAATTATTAGAACAAATTACAAATTGAAAAAAAAACAATGTCATGTGAATCAAAGGCAATGATTTTAAAATGTTTTGTAGGGAGTCATCTATTAGTGTTTAAATGTCTCCAACCACACTAAGTGTACAGGTGCACAGGGAACTACATGTTCCTTAGTCATATTGGTTGACCTTTCCGGTTTTTTTGGGGTTTTTTTTTTTTTTTTTGGGGGGGGGGGGGTAAGGGGGGGATGTAGTCACCTTCTTCGAGAATGAAAATAACACTCTTATAAAAGAGTACTTTATTAACTAGTATATGTGATATCTTTGATACAAAAACACATGAAGATAACCTATTCAAATCAATACACGTGCATTTCGAGGAAACAAATTAAAAGAATTATTAAAGACAACAGATTTCTGTATTTTTTTACATTTTCTCTGATATTGCATCTAAAAATTTGCTTATTAAGTGAAACTTCAATGTAACCACCAAGTACTGTGTCTTGATATATTAAGTCAGATAAAAATATAATGGTATTTTACAGCTTTTTTGGAATAAAGATCTAAAAATTCATGAAAAACCCGGAGTTCTTGAAATTATTTTCGATTTCTCTAATATTAGATACAATATTATTTAATATGATGTCAACATTACCACCAAGTACACTGCCTTAAGATAAGAAGCTCATATCAAATATATAATGGTATTTTATTACATTGTTTGGCAGGGTTTCATCTGATTCAATTTTCAGTTTGTCCACCTCTTTCGCCAAAATAATATATTTTTCGCCACTTTCATAAACATATTTTATCGTTTAAATTTTTTTCTTCTTTGTTACACAAAAAATCAGTTTACAGCATTGTTGTCTAATCTATTATAATTCTAGCGGAGACATGTTATACAATCTCTGATTCTACATATCTTTTGTTTAATCTGTCTACGTTGTAACAAATAAACACTCAACAATTACCCTTCCGGAGCACCTGAGATCACCCCCAGTTTTTGGTGGGGTTCGTGTTGCTTAGTCTTAGGTTTTCTATGTTGTGTCATCTGTACTATTATTTGTCTGTTTGTCTTTTTCTTTTTGGCCATGGCGTTGTCAGTTTGTTTTCGATCTATGAGTTTGACTGTCCCTCTGGTATCTTTCGTCCCTCTTTTACAAACATTTACTTTTTTTAAAGATACTGTGAAATTGCAATATAAATCATAAAATCATCATTTTGGACTTCTGGGAACACTGGGTTCATTTTCAATAAGTCTATCGGATACTTTCCGTCTTATAAACATTTTTCTTCATAACAACAGATTTCTTTTCCGGACCATCGTTAAAAGAAAAAGTTGAGACGTAAAACTATGCTTCAAACACGTGCGTTGCAAAAAAGAATGTGAAGTACCTACTACAAAACAATTACTTCTATCAAAGTTCAAGGAAAAAGACTATAAGGTCAAAGATTTTCTAACTTTTGAACATTTTTCTTCATTTAAACAGTTTCCTGTTCTGGGCCATCGTTTAAAGAAAAAGTTGAGATGTAAAACTATGATTCAAATAAAACACGTGCATCCCTAAACGATTGCTAAGTACCCACTTCAAAATAATTATTTCTATCAAAGTTTTAAAACTATCCTTAAGGTGACATATGACGCCATTTAACCACACAATTTCATTAAATACACAATCAACACCCTTTTTTTATTAAATAGTCCATTGTTGCCGATAGCTAAAAAGTGCAATCAGCTGATCATTGATTTTCTTTCACAATCGTAACGCGCGACAAGTTCAAGGTGAAATCCCAGTATCGTCTGATCAGGGGAAAAGTCAGAAAAACCTGAAAACAATTAACAATATAGACGTAGTCAAACGGTTATTATTCATTCGCAAAATCTTTCGCCAATAATGAATTTAAATCGCAACAGTTTTTATTTTTTCTCAAAGTGCGAAAATAGCAATCGCCTGCAGAAACCCATCTGTGGGATAGAATATCGAAAAATTCAAAGAAAAAAGAAACAAAATAAAAGATACCGGATTTCCTGGTAAAAAAATATTTTTAATTTCTCTTATTTTGGATCTTATGATTTTATATTAAGCACCAAAACCTTGTCATCGATTATTCAATTTTTTCTTTCGAAGGAATTCGCTTAAAGAAACGCTTGGATAATAGTCACCCGAGAGGCAAGATATTTCATCTTTGCTGCTTTAAGTTCGTCATCCTCGGCAATTCTGGTTGAAAGCGGAGGGGAACATTTTTTGGAAAATGTGCATACTACTTGGATATAATCTCCAATATACTATCGCTTCACTTAAGTTAAAGACGGTTCCTAGCACCGATTTGATCAGAATTCATTGCAAGACACAACTACTGTGCATTGGAAAATATAAACCTGGAGAAACATAAACAAATGATCAATTATATATATATCTGGCCAAGAAACCAGACATTTCTGTGTTATTTGGTCTCATATGGAGAGTTGTCTTATTGACAAACATACCACATCTTCTTTGTTTTGCATATAGTATATACATAAATTTCCAACAATTGCTCTTAGCCTGCAGATCCTATACAAACATTTATTCAACAACGAGGCACACGAGATATATTTTAGAAGTTTGGAAAAAATGACGTATGTACATGTATATTGCGAACTGTATATCAATTCCATCAACAAAATGGCCGATAGCGGGAATACTAACGAGCACATATATGAGAAAATCGTCAGAATGAATACTCCATAACTGTAAAAAGTTAAATAGCAAAAATACCGACCTCCAAGAAAATTTCAAAACGGAGAGTCCTTTATCAATTGGCAAAATTAAAAGCTCAAACACATCAAACAAATGGAAAACAACTGTCATATTCCTGATTTGGTAAAGACATTTCCTTATGTAGAAAATGGTGGAATAAACCTGGTTTTATATTTACCTAAACCTCTCACTTGTATGACAGTCGCATAGATTTCAATTATGTTGACAGCAATGTGTGAGGAAAACAAACAAACATAATAGGTAAAAATGTTAAAAAACATAGGAGCATACACCTCAAGCACGGAGAAACATAATGAAAAGAGAGTATATGGGGTATCAATTCATGACAAAACTTGAGACGTCCCTTAGCAACGGTTTGAGAGGGGAATAAGAGTAGGAATATTTGTAGTGTTTTAGATATTACGTCGATGTGGTCGCTGCTTAGGTGCTGACATGATTCATAACACACTTTTATTTTTAAATTATCAATTGAAAAATTATTAACAAAGTAAGGTTCTTAACCCCCAGTCGAGGTTGACCTTAGATTTCTTTGTTTTGAATTGCATCGGTTCGTCAGCTAGTTGATCACGTGTTCCGGTAGTTAAAAATTTTTGGGGTATGTGCGATCCTGATTAACGCCAATTAGGAGATGCGCTTCGGTCGCCACAAATGTATAAATTGTTTTCTTTTCACGTTCTTTCAGGACAGACCAAATTGCCTTGTCATTTTGTAGGAACAAGAGTTTTACTGATCTGTGATTCTACCGATATTGCTTTCATCCACTACAAGACAGATAAAGTAATAATTATGGTACGTTGAGGTACTTATGTTCAATAAAAAAAATGTGCAATCGTTGAATATGTATTTTGTATGATTATTATTTTTATTCATTATACATTGTTAATCATAAATGTATGTAACCACATAAGAGTTTGTAAATGTTGGGTCTCAATCTCGTTGAATGATACCAATGCTACATAATATATGGAATTTCAATATTTTCTTAGGAACTTGTAAAACAAGGATTTCGTAGATTCGAAAGAGTGGACATCAATGGATCATGGAAACCAGGAAACGAAATGGATTACTTTAATGAAATTGCAGAATGTATGTTATCTAACAAATAACAGAATAACTACCCTTTTTCTAAATATGACTTAAATATTAACAGTTGTATGACATGTTTATTTATCAAAACATTAATGTTTTTTTCAGTAAAAGGGGCGTGGCTAAATCTAAATAAATATTTTTGGGGGTTTGGTAGGCGAAGTCGTATTGCGTACTAAATTATAAGCCTGATATCCTTAATGAGTGGTACATTTATTACTATTTAATAAACAATGTTTAAAAGATAGATATTGCGTATACCTCCAAGATATAGTTATAATGTTTAGTGTAAATAAAATTACAACCGCAGTGACATCAAATAAATCAGTCAACGTATACGTGATACTTAAAAACTCAAGGAATAAAATTCAACCATTGTTTGGGAAAAGTTAAATAACAAAAAATACCGAACTCCAAAGAAATTCAAAACGGAAAGTTCTTTATAAAATGGCAAAATCAAAAGCTCAAACACATCAAACGAATGGAACACAACTGTCATGTTCCTGACCTCTCACTTCTATGACATATAGGAGTTATCTTGAATTTCAGTAAGAGGTTAAATTTTGCTTTGTGTTAACAGCATGACTGGGACTTTGTTTTTTTGTGTTTTTAAGTTTTGTCTAGTGTGAAAGAAGGTAAACGCATTTTATTATTAGACATATTAACATGGTATTATGATGCTGTTTAGACAGTAAAGGCACAGAATATACGAATAGTCACATACCACGTATGCACGATGCGGTTACTTTGATTTAAACTTGTATTATTACTATTCTCATTATAAATATATTTATGATAATCTATTTATCTATTCTTTTGGTTTTTTTATTTTAAGTCTTTTTTTCATTTCTTTCTTTGGCTGATAAAAGATTTCTTCGGATTGTACGTTGTACCTGTCATTATACCCATTGGAAACAATTGGAAGAGCCAAAAAATGCAGATACCTATTATTCGATTAAAGGTAAAATATTGTATTGCTAAGAACAACATTTGAAAAATCACCTTAGTTTGCATTTTCGCAAAGGATACACATGCACTTTAGAAATTCAAATACCACAAATATATTTCGATGTTGTTAACTTTCACTGAATTGAACAAAGTATACAAAAGATATCAATTTAGATACGTGAATATACTTCAGAGATTTTTTCTCGAAACAATTTAATTTAAATTAAGGAAAGTAATTCTTTCAATATTTTTAACAATTAATTTTAGATGTTTTTGTTAAAATAATTAGTCTTCAATTAATGCAAATGAGAATATTTAACAAATTATCGATATAAGTTAAACAACCCTGCATACATGCAACTAGTCAGTGGTTAAATGGGGGAAAACTAAGATCTCACTGTCATACGGATCATTTCTTTCAATACACCACCATACTGGCAACACACTTTTCATTATGTGTTTATGTATATAAATCTCAATTAAGGTGTTTTGAAACAAATTCGACACGTTTCGGAATTTTTCCCATAACAAAGTTATGAAATCAAATCATGGAATGAAGTACGGCTTTTTCAAAGAGTGTAAAAAAAACCAAAATAAATCTATGGAAATCAGAAGAAAAAAACAAGTCATTGGGTTTTGTCTTCATTACATTTCAGTTTAACTCCTACGTTTACCATTTTATGTAAACCAGAGCGACATGTCCGATGTTAGTGTGTTATGGCCGGAAGAAGTTGATCAGAGTTTTTCAGAATACACAACAGATACTAGTGAAGGATGATTTTCTGTCTGAAAATGTTAATTCGGAAAACTGGTGTGACTTTGATATTATCGTTTGTCAGATGCTTATTAGAGGTATATTTCCACTATAAGACAACAATTACCATTTTGGATTCTAATGACTCCAGTTCAAGGAATCAATTTGGGTTTACATACGTATTTTACATGAAATGAAAAAGAGGCGGTGGTATCCAGCTGACAGTCACAACAAATAATTAGAAGAGAAACAGACAGCGCCATGGCAAAAAAATGGAAGGCCACGAACGTTGTAACATGTCCGTTGTCATTTGCGACAACTTGTTTCGTAACGGTCAGACATCTCTGTAAAGCGACAGTAAAATATTCACAGGAATAACTACCACTTAACACATCGAACCCTTTGTTCAATAGCTTCTCTGTTTGCAGCAACCCGTTTTCAAGAAAAGTATTGTCAATATCTTGATACAATTCAAACTATGAACAAGTAAAAGTATTCATTCAACCATAAATATACATATCATTAATACCAAATTGTCATTAAAGATTAATGGAAGTTAAAAAAAAAACTGCTCATTATAAATTGTACATCTGTTGGCTTATTTTCTGTGTCAAATAGATACGAACTAAGAGATAGGTTCGTCCTGAAATTGTTCCAAGCTTCTCATGGCCTGTTTGGAAAAAATGTTTATTTTAGTCTAAAATGTTTGTAAATGAATTGGTATTTGTATTTACTGCCCACCGTATCTTTCAAAGTCTTTTGGAATATATCTCATATATAACTTACAAAATTTAAGTGGTCAATAACAATGTATATCTATGTATAAATTGTGTTATCTGATATTTCTAGTGTATATGGACGAGGATTTAGCAGAGCAAAAATTTTTAAGTTGTATTTCTCAGAGAAAAAATATATATATCCTCTCAAATGGGGGAGGTATGATATAAACCATTATTTATCAATTGCAAAAAAACAGTTACCTAGTTAAGAATAACACAGTTATCTTTATTATTTTGATTCATAAACCTGTTGCAGTTCATAAACTGACCTATAATGTTCATGTTATGCATAGTTTTTAGTAAAATGATATCTGAGCTGTACCCCGAAATGCTATTTAAAAAACATAGACATATTTGTAAATATTGTGTAAATTGTACTGACAAGTTCCTAAAATGATGCTGTTTTGATTAAGATTTTGCTTTTTTTGCACCCAATGTTAGACGTTTGAGCGCTAATGCAGACATATTAGACAAAATTGAAACAAATACATCAGTACTAATGTCCGATCTATGTCTTTTGAACATTTGAGGAATGCTTTTGGTAGAGCTGTAATACAATTTTGATCAGAACAGCTATATGCTGTTTGGGTATTGCTCATTGTTGATGGCTGTACAGTGACCTATATTTTTCATTTCTACGTCATTTGGTGTCTGATGGAAGGTTGTCTTATTGACATATCTTCTTGTTTTCATACTTGGAAGACTAAACAATAGTAAAGACATTTTCATTCTTTAATATAATTTTTAAACTTATCCAACGCAATACGTTCAGTGCTGTTAGACAAATTGCTTGCAGTCAATTAAGATCTGTTCAGTCAATGTTCAGATTGTTTATTAGTTGTTCTTTACCTGTACATATCAACACCATTCTGACCGTCTGAAAAGCTACTGAACAATACTAAATTGAATGCAAACAAATTGACAATTGAATCTAATGTCACAATTTTGCGGCGGGACTACTAAAATTATGACTTTATAGTTGGCCAGAAGTTTTGCAGTGATGAGTTGTAACGTGTGAGCATTTTGTGGATATGTCAAAAAGCTACTTCATGTTATCCGATACTTTGAATTAAGAGTGGGACATACTCTGCACGACAAAGGGTTCATTCTTGTAGATGTTTCATTTTCTATGTCAGCACTGGTTACTTTTTATTTTTATTTAGTTAGTTGGAAAGAAAACTTACAAAAAATCCGATTTCTAATTATTGTTTTTTTATATTATACTTATGTTTCAATAACATGGCATGAATTTTATGTTTCAGAAAGAAATACATGCATTCAATCATACTGCATTGTTCATGTACCTTTTGAAGAAAGGGGAGTGGAATATTCCAAAAAAGTACATAAAATGGCCAATCGATCTGAAGAGTGCTCTAGAATACATATATGAGGAGGTGAAGGTTTTAATGTTGTTAACAGTGTACAAAAAGAATGAAATAATTATCAATCAGTTATATGCGTGAATACAAAAAACATCTTCATCAACATCTACATCCGATGTTCCCAATATGATTCACACAACAGGCTTTCAAATAAATCAGCTGTGGGTAAAAAGAACTGAGACAAATATTCACCGAACACTGAACAAATAAATAAAAGAACTGAGACAAATATTCACCGAACACTGAACAAATAAATAAAAGAACTGAGACAAATATTCACCGAACACAGAACAAATAAATAAAAGAACTGAGACAAATATTCACCGAACAAATAAATAAAAGAACATATAAACAACATGCATATAATAAATTGACTCATATATTTAACTTGATACTGTACTGCTTTACTTTATAATGAATTGATTCATATATTTAACTTGACACTGTACTGCTTTACTTTATAATGAATTGACTCATATATTTAACTTGATACTGTACTGCTTTACTTTATAATGAATTGACTCATATATTTAACTTGATACTGTACTGCTTTACTTTATAATGAATTGATTCATATATTTAACTTGATACTGTACTGCTTTACTTTATAATGAATTGATTCATATATTTAACTTGATACTGTACTGCTTTACTTTATAATGCATTGACTCATATATTTAACTTGATACTGTACTGCTTTACTTTATAATGAATTGACTCATATATTTAACTTGATACTGTACTGCTTTACTTTATAATGAATTGACTCATATATTTAACTTGATACTGTACTGCTTTACTTTATAATGCATTGACTCATATATTTAACTTGATACTGTACTGCTTTACTTTATAATGAATTGACTCATAAATTTAACTTGATACTGTACTGCTTTACTTTATAATGAATTGACTCATATATTTAACTTGATACTGTACTGCTTTACTTTATAATGAATTGATTCATATATTTAACTTGATACTGTACTGCTTTACTTTATAATGAATTGACTCATATATTTAACTTGATACTGTACTGCTTTACTTTATAATGAATTGACTCATATATTTAACTTGATACTGTACTGCTTTACTTTATAATGAATTGATTCATATATTTAACTTGATACTGTACTGCTTTACTTTATAATGAATTGACTCATATATTTAACTTGATACTGTACTGCTTTACTTTATAATGAATTGACTCATATATTTAACTTGATACTGTACTGCTTTACTTTATAATGAATTGACTCATATATTTAACTTGATACTGTACTGCTTTACTTTATAATGAATTGACTCATATATTTAACTTGATACTGTACTGCTTTACTTTATAATGAATTGACTCATATATTTAACTTGATACTGTACTGCTTTACTTTATAATGAATTGACTCATATATTTAACTTGATACTGTACTGCTTTACTTTATAATAAATTGGCCTAACCAATCTTTACATATTTAACTTGATACTGTACTGCTTTGCTTTATAATGAATTGACTCATATATTTAACTTGATACTGTACTGTTTTACTTTATAATGAATTGACTCATATATTTAACTTGATACTGTACTGCTTTACTTTATAATGAATTGACTCATATATTTAACTTGATACTGTACTGCTTTACTTTATAATGAATTGACTCATATATTTAACTTGATACTGTACTGCTTTACTTTATAATGAATTGGCATAACCAATCTTTACATATTTAACTTGATACTGTACTGCTTTACTTTATAATGAATTGGCCTAACCAATCTTTACATATTTAGTGTTTATTTTAAAAAGGAGTATGAATATATAAAGGAATTATGGTTAAACCAGAAATGTTTTACCGACATGGATTACAAACTGCCTGATCACAAAGGTTTGTATCAAATAGTAATATAGCGAATATTTACTGAGTTGTGACTTTCTTGTTAAAGATTTAGAAGTGTGCAATTAGGTAAATATTCTAATGTAAATTAGGACTTCCTATATTAGTCAAGTGCCTGATACATTTATTAAATTTGAAACAACTTCATCCAATATAACCCCGATACAAATAAATCCAGAAGTTGTGCTTTGCGATGCGAGAATTCAGACAACATTTTGGCGTGTCAAATATTTCGAAAGCCTTTTAAATTTATATATCTATAGCTTTGTAGTTGATTTCATTTAACAATATTTGATTTGATTGTATCTTCTGTTTTTGTTCAGGCTAGTTTTGTTTCGTTTTGCTTTGCTTTGTTTTGTTTTGTTTTGTTTGTTTCGTTTTGTAGTACTTACTTCAATTTAGTTGAGCATGGCATATATAAATATAAAAAAGATGTGGTATGATTGCTTATTAGGCAACTCTTCACCAGGGACCAACTGACAAAAGTTAACAACTATATACAGCCTTCAACAATGAGCAAAACCTACACCGCACAATAAGCTATAAAAGGCTTATATAATATACAACCGGGAACATTTGTGTAAAAGTACAAACTATTAAAATCAGTTGAAAAAGGCTTAACTCACCAGTTCGATACGAAGAACATAACAAAAACATAACAAAAAAACAAAAGAAAGTACAGATCTGAGAGTCCTCGCAGTTACTGAAAGCTAGTTAAAGGTCAAAAACAACTAATAAAAAATGTCTAAGACTAAAATATTAATCAATACACGTCCAACATCCAATGGATTTAGTGTTAAAACGTCATTAACAATCAGAAAAAAACATGACCTTGTGTAGTTAAATGACTTCAGATATTAATCTAATAGAACAGAGTTATATTATTAAATTGGTCATTTATAGTACAAGTCCGGAAACTGATTCATAGCACCATTTGGAATGGTTTCATTTATAATGTGTAAAACAGATTTACAATTAGAAGAATTATTATAACTTAAAAAGAAATGATAAAGTCGTTAAAGAGAGTTGTATTAGCTAAGATATGTACATTTTGTAAACGCTTTACGATGTTCCTGCTAGAAAATAGGACGTTGACAAAAAGTTGAAATCATTATGTTTGTGATAGATTATGGCTAGACGTCCTTACTTTTTGTCAAAATCTAGGAAAATATGAAGGACTGAAGCACTTTCTGATTACGGGATTATCCTGAATCACAAGTTTACTACGATATATGAGATGCAAGCACTCACCGAAATGAAGGTATTGATTGACTGGAACCCTCAATATATCTGAAATTGAAATTGAAGATCTTTGCAAGATTTTTTTTTTCTATTTTTCTTCAATTCTGCTTCATATGAGTAACAAAACCAAGTATATCAGTATGGGTGCAAAATAAGAAGCATTGGCATACCGGGGGTTGAGATCTCACAAAACATCTTTAACCCCGCCGCATTTTTGCGCCTGTCACAAGTCAGGAACTTCTTGTCTTTGTTAGTCTTGTATGTCTTTTTTTTAGATTTTGGTTCGTTCATATGTTTCGGAGTTTAGTGTGACGTCCATTTTCTCTGAACTAGTACACATTTTTGTTTAGGGGCCAGCTGAAGTCGGTCTCCGGGTGCGGGACTTTCTCTCTGTATTGAAGACCCATTGGTGGCCTTGGGCTATTGTCTGCTCTTTGATCGGATTGCTGTCTCTTTGACATATTCCCCGTTTCCATTCTCAATTTTATTTAGTACGTGTATCCGTTTAATACTTCATTTATTGATTTTATTTTTAACCGTATGTCGAAAGTAATATTATAAAAATCTGTGTCTTATATATTACCTTATTTACATTTTATTAGTAAATGATATCAAATGATGCTGTTTGTTTTAAAGGTTTTACTGGACCAGAAGCAAAGCTTATGAATAGGGATTCTGAATGTTACGGTCTTGTATTTTTGGCTTTGCTGCATAAACAGTACTGGATTGGTGCACAACAGCTTGTAGACTTGGAATATGTAAGTTCAAATGAAAAGATTTTTATAAAAAGAAAAAGAGTAAATATAGAACCGACCAGTAAATCATTGACTAATAGCACTTAGTATGCAGTAGTATTTCACGACATTTGAATACTCATTTCTAATTCAGATCAAAGGCGGCAATATATGGAAAGAACATTATTTCCTACGAGTATTCAATGCATCTCTAAACAGAACAAAATGAACTGGTTTCCGACGTCTTAATGTGTGATAGCTAATATTTCCAATCCGTCTATGTGTAGATTTGTTATGTGGAACTGAATGAATTAAGTACAATAATTTAAAAAAAAAACAATAACATATAAGAATACTAAAAATCCAACAGGTTCTGTAAATATGGGAAACATTAGTTTACCGAGGTTATCATATCGCGAAAACGATTATAGTCAACTTTCCTCAAATTTCTGTTGACGCGGTTGATGTGTAAGGGTAACACCCATGTGGGTTATTGAGTGAAGGGATATCATCAGTATGTCTGAAAGTGAAACTAAAGAACTTTGCAAGGTGCATTTTGTTATGTCTTTGACAAAGTTCTGTATGAATTCTGCTTTATACTTTTACAAAAAGAAGTAAGCAAGTTAGTATAAGTAGTGGCGGATCCAGAAATTTCATAAAGGAGGGGGGGGGGGGGGGCACAGACTGCCACAAGAGGGGGCACACTTAGTCATGCTTCAGTGATTCCCTAAATAATCAAACACATTTTTCCGACAAAGGGGACGGTGGCACCCTGCCCTCCCTAAATCCGCCTCTGATAAGTAGTTCCCCTTAAAATACCGACTGCTGAACTATCAATCCACCAAACTCATCCACAGTGTCGTTTAAAAAGTCAAGCACATTCATTATGTCTTTTTCATTGTATTTTTTTGTTTAAATCGGTGTAATTTTTTTTTTTTACAAAATAAGATTAATCACGGCCATAAAAAGGAATTTGTATCTACGATCCCCATTTTTGTAAAAAAAAAACTCTGTTTCATGAGACGATGTAGTCGATCTGTCATTTGTGCATAGGTAATAGTAGTGCCATTCGTAGAAAATTAAAAACATTTGATACAACTGCAAAACAATAAATATTCTGATTAAAGATTTTGTAGTAGATCTTTAGAATTCTTAAGAATCCACACATGACCTACGCCGCTGGTTGTACATACTCCATCATAATATATTCAAAGGTCATCTTTTACTGCAAAAAGAATTGAACATATGGTAGTCGGTATTTAAACATTCGATTTTCAAAAATTTGGCTTTATTTACATTTTACTTGCATTGGACCATTACCGCTGCTGGTATACATGTTTAATCTTTGTTCTAATTCCAATACATCCAGATACTTCTGGAATTGTAGTTCGTCATACAATCCTTTTATTATTAACTGTTGAAATAGTTTCTACACTCATGTATAGAATAAAAAATTGAAAACAACACGGTTAATAATTTCATGCGTCCGAAGCGCTTTTCTGGATTTACCTTCATCAGGAACGCTCAAAGCCAAACATTTGAAATCCGAGGGATGTTTAAGTACCGAAACAGTTGAAGAGCTATATGACAAAAAACCTAAAACAAATAGCCAAATTCATCTAAGGTCAACTTTGTCTGAGGGAGTTGAAACCTTAGTTTCTTTATAGTTTCAAAATTTATAAACAGACAATTTTAGAAAGGTTTGTTATAAATCATGTCAGTACCGAAGTACTGACTACTGAGCTGATGATACCCTCGGGGACTGATAGTCCACCAGCAGAGGTATCGACCCAGTGATGTAAAAAATTGAAAACAACACGTTTAATAATTTCATGCGTCCGAAGCGCTTTTCTGGATTTACCTTCATCAGGAACGCTCAAAGCCAAACATTTGAAATCCGAGGATGTATATAGCTGACATAATCCGTATTTGGTACGACTTTAAAAATAGGGGTTTGAATGCTCTTTAACTTGATACTGAATGTTTGCCTTCCAACTTTGTTAATTAAAGCGCTACTGAAAATTCGTATGAAGAAGAAATACAACTCAAATTAAAATACCAATTTTAGAACGATACAATTTTATTTGTTAAACGCCCGTCTGACGCACTAGATTACAAGCCTTGTAGATGTGATGAGTTTATATCAAGGAAATTATCATATTGTATACCCTTACAGAAACGCTAACGACACCATACATCATATGACGAAAGAAACGCTGCACAATATATTACGACAAACGAAAGGCTAATTTATACCATGCGCTAAATGATACAATATAATACTATATAACGAGAAGCTGTAGTAAACTAGATGATTATCTATATAATGAACAAATGATGTATGGAGATACATGAATGTTGTACTAACAATGCTCAAACGCTAGAAGGACGATCCCAGAATGTTGAAAGAACGATGCCCGACTGAAAAAAATATATTTACTCTTACGTTAATTTATATCTGAAAAACCCGTATTGCAAATTGTGTTAAGAAGCGAAGAATTAAACCACAAAATATCAGTTTATTCGATGAAGTTTATTTAAAAAAATGAGAACAAACAAAATATATAAAATATATATATCTATATATATAAACAAGTCTACATTGAAAACAACGTTCAAACCTATGGTTGCGTTGGATAAAAACCGCAATTTTTATACGTGTGCATGCAAAACAAATTGCATGGTAGAGGGGTCTAAATACAGCACAAACAACATTTTCCAAAATACCAAAAAAGTGAAAAAGTATATTTTAACAAAACGCATTTGACTAGCAGGTCGAACAACGGATGTTCTTAAACCCTGCTGACTGCCATGGCGATTGCCAAATAAACGGATCACCAGATGTAACAAAATGGATCTTAATTCTTAATTTAATACCAAACAGAAAACAATATAGGTTTAGATATAATACCTTATAAAAGATGACCAAATTAACATTTCTTCATTCAGATTGGGAATCATCATCTTCTTGTTGGGTGTGCTATATTAGAAGATGAAATCAGAAATTGGAAAACAGCGACACACTTGAAGGAAAAACTACAACGTTTAAAAAAGTAATGATGTAAATAAAATAAAACATATTACAACGTGTTTAATATTGATTGATTGACTGCTGACTTAACGTCCAGTTGCAATTATTTCATGCGTTTAAAGGACGAATGCTTTAAAAACCTCGACGTAGTTTATGCTTCTTGTGTAGCCAAAGCATTTATGTTGGCAATCAAATGTCAATTTTGCGATGAGATGTGCATTGTAGCATAGGTCTCAAAAAACATGTTTAACCCCGCCGTATTTTTGCGCCTGTCCCAAGTCAGGAGCCTCCGGCCTTTGTTAGTCTTGTATCATTTTTAATTTTAGTTTCCTGTGTATAATTTGGAGTTTAGTATGACGTCCATTATCACTGAACTAGTATACATATTTGTTTAGGGGCCAGCTGAAGGATGCCTCCGGGTGCGGGAGTTTCTCGCTGCATTGAAGACCCATTGGTGGCCTTCGACTGTTGTCTGCTCTATGGTCGGGTTGTTGTCTCTTTGACACATTCCCCTTTTCCATTCTCAATTTTATTTAATAAATCTGATATTAAAAGAATAATTTAAAAGTAGCGTTAACGTTTGTATTTTAACATCAACAGCTTATTACGACCTAAAGGTACAGTTGACGTCACTGATTTGGTCATGCATTTGAAAAAATATAAAAACATATGATTAAATGACAAGCCCTCATTCAAAATAGCAATTTTAAATTGCTCAGAGATTAGATGATTTGCGAATATCTTCAAATGAAATGACTAGAAATTTGAATCTTAATAAACAATATTCCACATAGAAATGACTTGCTTGTTTTGTAAATCTACTTAGCAATTTCTTTTCTGCATGAGTGTTAATTGCTTGATTTTATGTGTATCTAGTTAATTTAAAAGAAGGAAATGAGATACGATTGCCAATAAGACCATTTTTCATAGGACAAAGATATTAACAATTACATGTCATCTTATGGGCCTCTTTAAATGCGTGAACCAAACACCATATAGTAAGTTTTAAAAGACAAAATGTGACACATTTCAGAAGAAAAAAACAAATTACCTGATTTATACTATAAGAATGAATGGTTAATGATAAGGCAGACAGAAACAAACGACAAACAACGGATAACATGTGGCTGGCTTGGAAAAGTCACATAAACAACGACAAACAACGGATAACATGTGGCTGGCTTGGAAAAGTCACATAAACAACGACAAACAACGGATAACATGTGGCTGGCTTGTAAAAGTCACATAAACAATGTGTTTGTAAACCTTCCCCTATGCTGTAATGTAACTTCAATTGTTAACAATAGTTATAAGTGAAGGAGATTTGGGAGGTATATATATATATATAAATATAAGTCTTTTCATTTTGTTAATATATTGTTCAAGTGTCTTCACTGAAAGAGTTATCTGCATAATTCGGCATATCTATGATGCTGATGTTACAAAGGAACGAAAGAAACAAATGACAATTAAAGAGAACAAAACAGAAGAAAGAGAGCTGGGTGATGCCATCAATCATGCAGGAAGGCTTTTGTTGAATCATGGATATCTAATGGATGCTATCAACAGTAAAAACCAAAATTTCGTTGAAAACGACACAGTAAAGAAAATCTTAAAAAAGATGTGGTATGGTACAGAGAATATAGATGGTCAGACGGTAAGTAAACAAAACTAACATTTCATTGATATGATTAATCCGTTGGCTTGTTTATATCTAAAATCGTTCCGTTATGGGGAGAGATGAGGAAAGTAAGGAAGCGAATGCAAGACAAGGAGAATCTCAAATATGTAGGAACGAACTAATTGACAATCAAAGAAATGCTACCTTACCCACACATCCCAAAAAAAAGGAGAAAACAATAGACAAAAAGAAATACGCAAAACAACTTCATCTAATTTTTCGATAATTTTCAAAATGAGCAGAATAATTTGAATGCTAGGGCAAATATCTAAACAATGTAGAACATCCAAAAAACAAGAGAATACCAACGTGAAAATACAAAAAGACATTTTAATCATATCTAAACGATAGAACGATATATATATATATGCCATCAAGTTTTCGAAAAACGTAGGATTTTCTACTGCAGGAATTGATACCTAGCTGTATTTGGCAAAACCTTTCGGAATTTTAGGTCCTCAATGCTCTTCAACTTCGTACTTTATTTGGCCTTCAAATTTTTTGACGTCACTGCTGTGACTTTTGTAGATCAAACGCGCGTCTGCCTGGTATCTATGATGAGGTTATAAAAATATAAGATCATTGGTGTTACAATTGGTAAACAAGACTAGAACCTAAAGCTACATTAAAAATGTAATAAATGTTTTGTTTTCAGACTTTTTGGTATATTGTTCTGTTCTCAGTCCATCTATTTGTGATGCCTTTATTAATGATTAACATGGAGATGGATAATCGTCTATTACTTTGGTAAGATAAATTTTGCAAATCAACATCCTTCTTTATATCAATAAATGCAATTATCGCTATTTTGTGCATTTTTCCTTTGATCTTTTTGGTGATAATTTTTCATATCATGCTACTCGCTGGAGATGGAATATTATCGTCAGAAACTAAGGGCGCATGTGACGTTGTCAATGTAAACATGAACGACCTCATTGACAAAATAGCGATAAACAGATTATCACTGGTCTTTCAAACTCGAGGATGTTTATCAGCCACATCTCATCTCAGGGCTGTCGCCCTTTCGAAAAATCATCAATAATCTATAATTATGTATCTGTTAAAATATGTATTTCATTGAACTATATCAAAACGTTTAATGAGTTCTATCAACCCTAATCACACCTGACTTGATATCGTTTTTGCTTTCCAATAAGATAATTACTATCGTTCATGTTACTCTTTACGTATCTTATTATATCCTTGTCATACTCAGCTTTCGCGCGTGATATCCGATGCCACTTGAAGGGAGAGTGCTATGATCTATGTACGTTAAAAACCCATTTAAATAACTCTTAATAGTTGTCCCTATCAATTGTTGTCTGTGGCAGGTGTTCATCTGTAAATTTATCGCCTCGTCCTACTAAGCAGAATTTATTGCTAATGCTTAATGTGTCAAATCCTTAATTTGCGTTATATGTATTCAACTAGTTGTTGAAAAAACAGCAACCAACCTATCACATAGAATATGTAAGAGTCCAATCCAGGAACCCAAAAGCAATATTTTTGTGTCGAGACCTTCATTTTGCTATGCAGATTCACTCCAAAATTCTTCCATCACATCATGCAAAAATAGGAATGGTAAATATAAATACCTTGGTTTCGGTCATGATAAATCTAACTTACTTATAATCACACGCATGCCAAGACTATAGTCACCAAAGATTATATCATAAAAATGCTGGACATTTTGATCGACAATATATAAGTGTTGAATTTTGTCGATCGATATTTCAACGAAAATTGTAATTTTGTGTGCACTGTAGGAGAAGTTTAGCATATATAAATCGGACTATGTTTTTGCTGATAAACCCTAACATTGACCTTTGGTTGATTTGAGAGCCTTATCTTACAGATCCTCGGATATTGAAGTTTTCACATCCTTAGGATTCAAGGGTTCGGGTTTGTTCTTTCCTAAAGACATGCATAGTAACTAGCTATACAGGTATCATGAAAGTAACTATTTTTTATTCCGGTAACCATTCTAAAATAATCGTTAACTTTTCAATTTATTTCAGGTTTTACAAAAGGTACAAGCTGCCATTCATGAAAATATTTATACATTCGGTATGAAAGTTCATATTTTACACAATTTGCAAACCTAAACAATGTAAACATTACAGTTGCCTATAATTGCTAACATCCACTTCACTTGAACTTTGGTGGATAGTTGTCTCATTGGCAATCATACCACATCATATCATTATTCATGATTTTACTATTTTTTTGGTGATGTTGTACCCTTATAGACTTGCTTATTATATTTTGTAGTGTACTGTATCATATTTATATGATCCATCGCCTCGTAAGATTTATCGTTGGCTATTATTCAGAAATTTTCTATTTATCATTAGTACATAATACTTGTAAATCTTTTTGTTTCTAAGAAATGCATTCACTTAATTGTGTTCATTGTGTCTTGTCTTTTGTCACAAGATTACTCAATGTTTTGTTTAAGTATTCAACTGGTTAATCGATACACACTTGACTTGTTTAAAATTTCTTTTAACGTTTCAAACCAGTCAATTTCGTTTTATCAACAATCAACGTATTAAAAGTTATAAATTTGCTGTACGGCAGATGTAAAAATATCTCACATGCTACAACTCAACATTATCAAGCTGCAGACCAAATATAAAATAATTCTTTTGCAGAGAAGCAAAACAGGTTTTCATGAAAGTTTTATCTTACGCTTAATATTTGACGGACAGGGTCAATTGAAAACTGCGACATAGGAGATGACTTCAATCTACCATTATGAACATTCTATTCTCATGTTAAAAGGTTTCAAAAGAACTTAATATGGAGTTTATATACATTTGTATATTTTGGTTATTTTTTACTTTGCCTTCCCCTGTATGATTTTCTGAAAAGCGTGTTGTTGTTTACAAGTAAGCTCCTGATACATGGTGTCTAGATTATAACGACGGGTGCCACACATGGAGCAAGATCTACTTACCCTTCCGGAGCAATTGAGATCACCAACCGTTTTTGGTGGGGTTCGTGTTGCTCAGTCTTTAGTTTTCTATGTTGTGTTTTGTGTCCTATTGTTTGTCTGTTTGTCTTTTTCTTTTTTAGCCATGGCGTTGTCAGTTTATTTTCGACTTAGGAGTTTGAATGTCCCTTTTGGTATCTTTCGCCTTTCTTTTATCAAGTCACTCTCAGTTTTGAAGAAGTGTAATGGACAATATCACTAATGACTGGCTGTAATTATAAGTGTGCTATTTATGAATGATACCTTATGGGAATAATAGTAGTGTTATAGTTTATAGAATATGAGTAAAAGTTTGAAGAAGTTGAGTAATAGTTTATAGAAGGTGTGTAATAGTTTATAGGAGGTGTGTTATAGTTTATAGACGGTGTGTAATATATAATAGGAGGTGTGTAATAGTTTATAGAAGGTGTGTAATATATAAGCTTAAATTGGTTCCGTTTAACATACATGTCTATTTTGTTTTAGGTTATTGTTGCTTTAATAAGAAAAAGAATCAAACCATATTTTCGTGATTGGTGGAACATAGCAGATTGCATTTTAATTATAGGATATACGTCTGGAATGCTACTGAGAGCTGTTGAAGGATCTTTTTTCCGAACTACGTCAAAATGTTTATTAGTTGCAATATGTATGCTTATTTGCATAAGATTACTCAGTTTGTACTACATAAATGAGTTTCTCGGACCAAAGTTAATTTTAATTCGAATGATGGTATGTAAGACTATATAAATCCAAAGATGTGGTATGAGTGCACATGAGACAACTCTCCATCCAAGTCACAATTTATAAAAAGTTAACAATAATAGGTAAAAGTACGGTCTTCTAAACGGAGCCTTGGCTCACATCGAACAGCAAGCTTTAAAGGACCCCAAAATGACTAGTATAAAACAATTCAAGTCTTGCAACAGGCCACCTACGGACCCCTCAAAGTGTTGTTGCAAGGGTTCTAAACGTGCAGAGAGCGTGACATTCTCTCTACAAGAGGCATCGGTTTAACATCCCCATTCTGACCGGATGTGGCTGCGTACTTGTACATCCCGCTTAGCTAAACGGACGCCCCACTTCGGTAAGGGTTTTACTGCTGGTCTAAAGAAGACCTGTAGTGACCATATTTCTATTCCCGAGTCACCCTTTGAGGTTATGGAAATAATAAGTTTCTTTGTTATTTTCGAATCGTAAGGTTTAATATAATCTCAATAATTCAATATTACGGACAGTCGGAACTGTTGCCTCTCATCCACTTACTTGCTATTGCAAGGTATCAAGACACTAAGTTGTTAACCTAACTTTTTACTCAATTTCTTCAATTTGTGTTAGCATTTTTCTACTGAACGTTTTACCAAAACTAATGTAGTAAATAAAAATATTCAAATCAAATGATCAACATCATTATCACAATAAAAGTGATACTTTTCGAGCTGCCGAGGCTAAAATTTACAACATGAAAATCTGAATTTGCTTTTCAAATCAGAGAAGAACAAGTTTTCCTACTTAGTGATATTATTGTTTTTTTTTTATTTATGTACGGGTCATGTTTGGTATATTCTAATTTCAGATTAACCATACTATTGCATTCATGACAATTATGTTTGTCATAATGTTTTGGTACAGCGTGTCTTTTTATGCGCTTCTATATCCGAATACTGAGGCTAGCTGGACAGAGATCGAAAAAATTTTATCGAATGGATATTGGATATTATTTGGAGAAGTGAACTTAGAAGCTGATACATGTAAGAGTCAAATAAATATTTCATTACCTTAAGTACTATTTTGTCAAAATGAGAAATGATATGCAAGACAATTCCATGCAATGAGGAATTACAAGCGGAACTAGGGAAGATATAACATCTATCATTATCTAATTTTTCAAATTGATATGTGTACCTATTTTGTTACGCTACTGCTTATTACTTTAACAATATGGTTTATAATTTCGATTTCGTATAGAATGATGCAACTATTATCACTTTCCTAAATGTTAAAGGTACCGTCATATATATTTTTGAGTCAGGAAGGTTTTGGTATTAAGGATCGTTTTGTTAGCAAGAACAAGGTGCAAGTAAACTTTCGTTTGATCTGTTTGAGCTTGTGATTTTACCTTTTGATAAACACACTTTCCGTTTTGAATTTTCCTTGGAGTTCGGCATTTTTGCTATTTTACTTTTTACTGTATTCTAATTTTAAATTTAACTTAAATGCTAATTTATTGTGTAAAGTTCACGTGACATTCACGTGAAAATACTCATGTGAATTCAACTCAAACGAGATTATACGTGTAACTCACATGAAAAAATTTACGTTAATTTCATGTGAATTAAGATTCACATTAATTTCAAGTGAAATTTTTCACGTGAATTTTACTTGAACTTTATAAAGAAAATATGTATTTTTCATGATTTTAATGGTGTTTGAATACCTTTGTTTGAAAATTAACGTAAACAAATTCATGTGATTTTCAGTTCAGGTGAGTTTCGCGAATTAACTCGTTTGAACTGAAATTTCATTGTGTGAGCCAGTGTATAACGAAATCTTTAAAACGTAATAATATAAATACAGCAATAATACTGATTTTAAGAAACATGCCATTTTGTACATAAACAAAAGGGAAAGACGGGTTTCAGATGAAACCTGCTAGTAGTAGATATATCTGGTCGAGTATAGATACAAAATTAAGGATAACTGAGTAAAGAATCAGGTTTTATGATTTTGTACTACAAACAGTACTACTATAAAAAGAAGCGTTTAAACCAAGTGTTCCAAGCGGTGATTTTAAAATCATTCCTTCGAACATTTTATTCCTACCGAAGGTCGGTGGTTTCCTCCGGGGACTCCGGCTTCCTCCATCCATAAAAACTTACCGCCACGAAATAGCAAAATAGTGTTGAAAGTGGCTTTAAACACCAATCAATTAATCAATAGAACACTTTACGGACGCCATCACGAGTTGGTTGACCGATATGCAATATTTGTTTCACATATGACGACGGATATGTACCAATTGTTATAACCACATTCATTCCCGTCCTCTTGTCATCGATTTGACCTACCGAATAAGACTTATCATCGTGTTTGTACCTACAAGAGAAACACGACGGGTGCCACATATTGAGCAGGAACTGCTTACCGTTCTTGAGCACCTGAGATCACTCTCAATTTAAGGTGGGGTTCGTGTTGCTCAGTTTTCTATGTTGTGTTTTGTATACTATTTATCTGCTTTTCAGTTCGTTTTCGACTCATGAGTTTAAATATCAATTTAGCATCTTTTAAAATATATAAATCTTTTACTTTCCGAATACGGTACTCCTACTGGTTTATTATTTGCAGCATTTAAAAAGCGTGTGCTCTTGCTGTTTGCCTTTGTTTCAAGGAAAAAGACTAGATAGATCAAACTTTAATTTACATAACTTAATAGATACACCGTCAAGAAATCTAGCGCGGCTTTAATCAACTTTGATCTAATAAATGCATAAAGATTTTATATCTGTGTATATATATTTGGGTTAACGCAAGTAAACATTTTGAGAGCAGATGTGAAATAAAATTTGCAAGATGTTTTTGTTAGTTCATCTTACGTAAAACCTGTTTATTTACGAACACATTTTACTGTGACAGTCTTAAAATCATTTTTGTAGAATTGATTTTGTTATTATATAAATATACATGATTCATACACTTTATTTTTATCTGTTTTCTATTTTGTGAAACTATGCTAATCGGTTTTTTTATAACAATTGTGACATGGTTAAGATTATTATTCTATCTATCTTCATAAATAAGATATACTTTCTTTTCCCGCAATAAAATTGAGACACCAAATTGTAAATTAAACTTGACATGTTTTGAAAGAGAGGGTTCATAAGAGCATAAATTATTAGATTTGTAAATTATAATAATAAGAACAACTCTTTCTCAAGTGAACTGTACAAAATTGTTTGGTAAAATTAGTTTATTATTGCTTCTCTGTTTCTAATTTTGTGTCTCATTCAATCTTAGTGACTGAACCGAACTGCACCTTCAACAAGACAATATATGAAAGTGATGTGAGTGGAGTTTTACCGCGATGTCCAACGAAACTTGGTTTATACATTACACCTTACTTAAAAGCCCTTTACGCATTGATAGCAGTAGTCATAATGCTGAATCTTTTGATAGCTATGTACAGGTATAAAGTAAATGGTATACGCTGAACAATGCAAAAAAACATGATATTGAATGTGCTCAGATCTATACAAAAGAGAGGCTAAAAATACCAGAGGAAAATTCAAACTCAGAATTCGAAATCAAAATGACATTGCCAATGGAAAAAAACGAAAAACGACCAAACGACAACCAATAATATACATAACACAACATAAAAAACTAAACTAAGGAAATATTGAACTAATAAATATGCTTCTAATCACAGAAAACACTTACAAATGTTGTTATTTTGTCTGTACTCCTGTCTGCTTCGTTAAACAAATGTTATCTGTGACAACGGATTAACACATTTCGTCAACAAGGGTTTCCCTCGGTTTTAGTTTGTAACCCGGATCTGTTTTCTCTCAATCGATTTATGACTTTTGCTGTTGCCTTTATTTACAAATCCTGTAGTCAGCACTTTGTTATTGATACATGTATGAAAGATAACTGAATTCATTTTTTTGTAAATTTACTCTTTTAAATGTTAAATTATTTGGAACACTAATTGTTGTCTATCCCAGGAATATATCGTATTATCCGTATGGCACAATTTATCGGAATTTTTGGTTTTTAATACTCTTCAACATTGCATTTGAAAAAAGTATGACAAAAATACTGAACTCCATGGTATATTCAAAAAGTGGAAGTCCATAAATACTGACAAAATCAAACGTTTGCAACCAAATGGACGAGTGGAAAACAACTTTCATATTCCTGACATGGAGAAGCATTTTCCGAAAATGGTGGTTTTATCTGGTTTTATAACAAAATAAACCTTCTTCTTGTATGACAGTTGCTTATATGTCCGTTATATTGACACAATGTTGGTGAGCAACCCAAACAGACATATTTTCCAAAGATAAACACATATATTGTTTGTGAAACGAATTTGACACACTTGCTCAATTGAATTTCAGTAACATTTTTGAGGACGTCCATACAAAATCGATGATTTATTGGTCTGAGCTACAGACATCTTTTCTTGAGGAATATAGTATCCAAACAATATTTCCAATACACCTCCAGTTACTTACCTTACCGGGAACAGTAGTTGCAATTGTGTGGCTTTTCTGCGCAAATCTACGACAGCAGAATTCTGACGAAAATGATCGTACTAAAGAGCTTAATCATCACCCACAATTTGTCAGAGGTATGGTGTACATTTCAAAAATAGAAGATTTTCGTACCGTTTGTTTAGATTAGCAAATTTGCAGACATTTAAAAGAAAGGTTAATAATTAAAAACTGGTGGAATCAAATGAACTCCAAAAGGTTGCTTCGAAAGGGTAAGCGTCTGTTGGTTAACCAACAACCGCAATGCGTATCCACACTTACTCTAAATGTCACAATTGAGCCTTTACTGTACTTTCACATATCGCACGACTATTCTGTTATCCGAAAGAGCAAAAACATGTCGCTAGTGAGTTTGTACACAGCATAGCGTATCGGTCAACAATTTCTAAACCGTTAACCCTATGTATGTTGATATCAGTCGTTTTCCACTTAATTGTGTTGATTGATTGATTGATTGTTAGTTGCTTAACGTCCAGTGGCAAATATCTCATGCATATTCTGGACGAGAACAAATTAACAATACATATAATAGGTAATTCCTGTAATAGAGACGGTCCGGGATGAAGGTCGGTAAAAATCTGTACTGGCACGGGAAAATGAGGGTACATTGGATAGTAACAGAAATTTAGCCTTACAACAGGCCACCTCAGACCCCTCAAAGAATTATTGCAAGGGTTCCTAACGTACAAAGAACGTGGCACTCTCTTTACATGAAGTATCGAATTTAACGTCCCAATTCTGACCGAACGTGGCTGCGAACTTGTACATCCCTCAAAGCCGATCGGACGTCCCACTTTTGCGATAGTTTTACTCGGGTCGAAGGAAGAACAATGGTGACCATATTTCTATTCGCCAGTCACCCTTGAGGGGAGGGGGTAACTGTGTTGAAGCATTTTTTTAATCATGAAGTTTGTAAAGTGTAACGATTCACCGGCGTAAATCATTGTTTAAAATATGTTAACGCCATGACAAGGGGGTATGTTGCTGCAGAAAAATGGTAATTTGACCAAGTCTGCTATTTACTTTGAAGTCGTCTATCTGTTTCAAATTGGAAAATTGAAGATGCTTCGTAATCTTGTTTTGGTGATATCCTTAAGAAGGAATTTTAATGTAAAAGTACCTATGACCTGTAATGGTTTACTTTTGCAAATTGTGACTTGGATGGAGAGTTGTATCATTGGCACTCATACCACATCTTTTTATATCTATATTATGATTTTAGTTATCTAGTGTTGACACTTCTCAAAATAATCTATTTTGATAAAAAATAGGTGTTGTTCACTTTATTCGTGTATTTAAGTGAAGTACCAATTACAGAATATTCATTCGTTGTTTAAAAAGACGTTAAACCAGTGTCCCTATATTACATGAAGTCTTAAATGAAAAATATTTAAAAAAAAAATTAAATTAACTATTGATAGTTATCGTAAAAGTATTTGATGCTTTACTTTCAGTTTTTCTCCTTGATTCTAATTATGATTTGCAACTTAAATCGACAGAAGCAGAGGAGACAAAGGCTCAAGAAGACCAAGGGTAAATATACTATTCAATGCATTATTGTCTATTTGTAGTGTATATTTGAATGGTATGTAATGAATTATAGAGACAGTGTGTTCTTCTTTTTCTTTATTTGAAATCTAATCTTTCCAAATAAAAGTTGTATTTTCCTTTAAGATACATGTTGTCCATGTTGTATATGTGAAGAAAAAATTAATAGAGCTTGATTAATGTTTAAACTGTTGTAGCTATGTGTTTTCGTCGTCAAGTGGCCAATATTACAAACAAGTAAGGACGGTGTCACACATAAAGATGTTTTCAGGTGAAATCTTAAAAAATCTGGAATTTAATATTCATATTATAATTCAGAAGAGCATTGGTTAAGAAACAAAATAATCTCAAAATAATGATAGGTTATGGCACTCCTTTTCGAGATATTTGATTTTTAGAAAATGGCGTGATAAGTTTGATTCGGACTTTAGCCTTATATTTAGCATTGACATTATTTGGATCTCAAATCGTAAGAAAAGAAATCTAGAATCTGCTTAAATTTTAGTAATGACCTTTTATTAAAGTCTTCTAGGAAAAGAAAAAAGGATGATATGGGGCAAAATATTTTGCCTTGTATCGTAGGGAAAACCCAAGGAGTCCGAACATCTGACAAAAATTTCTTAACCTGAAATGACTACATCCTTAAACTCTAAACATCAAGTTATAATGTGTGCAATTGAAGGATCGGAAAAAAAGAGAAAACATTAGGTTTTGGGGTTTTGGTTTGCATATATAATGTGTATGTTTTTAAGGTATAAAGACAATGATCTTAAATTTCCTTCTTAATATTTTCCATAAATACAGATAAAGTCTAGTTGTCCGAGTGGCGTAGTGTTATGGCCAAAGTGTTGGCCATGTCTCCACTGAGGGGAGAATATTTCAGATCTATCAGATCTAACATTGTTAAGGTCACCACGTATATTTCAAATTAGTTGTTCCTACTCGAGTCGTTCGTTTTCTGAAATCATGTAATAATTGGTTTGATGATTTAAGATGATCTTTATGTGACAGATCAGCTGTCAAGAATTTATTTGAAATAAAGAAAAAACATTTGCTATAATGTGCATTTTTTTTTTTATTACGGATGACGATTAACTTTTTTTTTGCAGGAAAATAGATGTTAACACAGTTACGGTAAACCTTTTCTTTTGTTTTAACAGTGAATAATTTTGATTGTCGAATACGAGTGATCGATTTAGATGTAAATATATGATTAAATCATACATGTCATATAAATCAATTCGTTATACATAGATTTTTTATACAGAAAGTATTGTGTTTTGGGCAACGTTGGCACTATTAGTATGTTCATACAACCAAAAGATGACTGAAAATTCAATCATATTGTATAATATTTATTAATTAAAAACCTTTTTTAAATTGTCCGTTTATAAATTTTTGAAATGATAGAGAAACCAAGGTTTCAGCTCCCTCATGCAAAGCTGACCTGAGATAGATGTCGCTATTTTTAAGCTCCTTTTAGGTTATATAGCTCTTCAGCTGTTTCGGTTCTTGTACATCCTTGGCTTTCAAATATTCCTCTTTGAGCGTTCATGATGAAGGTAAATCTAGAAAAGCGCTTCGGACGCATGACATTTATAACATGTTGTTTCATTTTCTACAAATAAAAAAATTGTCAATAGGCTACGATATTTTTTTCTGAATATGGAATATTTCAGTTTGTTTTGATCTATCCATCGAGGCCGCCGTTAAAAGTTTCTAGTACAGAAAGTCGGGCTGTCAAGACGGTTCAATCGATTGCTCGACTTTATTCATAAAATTTGTTATTGGCAAATTGTGTTACGAGAATAGAGAATGTTTCAATGTGTCGTGGAGTTAATGCAACAGTAGTTTACCGATGATAAATTTCATAAATCGATGTGAAAGAAACAATTATGTTAAGCAATTAACAAAAACTGAGATAATTAGATATTTCGTTAAGCAATGATCAAAAACGGGGGTAAACGGGTATTGTGTTAAACAATGAACAAAAACTGATGTAATCGGATGCTGTGTTAAGAAGTGTATAAAAATTGAGATAATCGATGTAGTAATCAGTGTGTCGTTAGGCAATGAACACAAACTGAATAATCGCTGTGTCGTTAAGCAATGAATAAAAACTGAGATAATCGATGCAGTAATAGGTATGTTGTTAAGCCATAAATACAAACTGAGATAATCGGTGTAGTAATCGGTGGGGTGTTAAGCAATGACCAAAAATGGAGATAATCGGTGTAGTAATCAGTGTGTTGTTAAGCAATGAACAAAAACTGAGATAATCGGTGTAGTAATCAGTGTGTCAATAAGCAATAAACAAAACTGAGAAAACCGATGTAGAAATCGGTGCATCGTTAAGCTATGAACAAACCTGAGATAATCGGTGTAGTAATTGGGTTGTCGTTAAGCAATGAACAACAACTGACATAATCTGTGTAGTAATCAGTGTGTCAATAAGCAATAAACAAAAACTGAGATAATCGGTGTAGTGATCGGTGCATTGTTCAGCAATGAACAAAAACTGAGACAATCGGTGTAGTAATAAGGGTGTCGTTAAACAATGACCAACAACTGACATAATCGGTGAGGTCATCGGTGGGGTGTTAAGCTTTGAACAAAATACTGACAAAATCGATGTAGTTATTGGTGTGTCATTAAGCCAAAATAAAAACTGGAATATTCGGTGTAGTAATCCGCGTGTCGTTAAGCAATGAACAAAAACTGAGATATTCGGTGGGTCGTTAAGCAATGAACAAATACTGAAACAATCGGTGTAGTAATTGGGGTGTCGTTAAACAATGATCAACAACTGACATAATCGGTGACGTAATCGGTGTGTTGTGTTAAGCGTTGAACAAAAAACTGATATAATCGATGAAGTTATCGGTGTGCCCTTAAGCCATTAATAAAAACTGGGATATTCGGTGTAGTAATCCGTGTGTCGTTTAAGAATGAACAAATCTGAGATAATCGATGTAGTAATCAGTGTGTCGTTAAGCCATAAATAAAACTGAGATAATCAGTGTAGTAATCGGTGTGTCGTTAAGCAACGAATTAAAACTGAGATAATCGGTGTGTCGTTAAGCAACGAACAAAAATTGAGATAATCGTTGTAGTAATTGGGGTGTCCTTAAGCAATGAACAACAACTGACATAATCGGTGTAGTAATCGATGGGGTGTCAAGCATTGAACAAAAAACTGACATAATCGATATAGTTAACGGTGTGTCGTTAAGCCATAAATAAACACTGGATTATTCGGTATAGTAATCCGTGTGTCGTTAAACAATGAACAAAAACTGAGATAATCGATGTAGTAATCGGTGTGTCGTTAAGCCATGAATAAAAACTGACATAATCGTTATAGTAATCAGTGTGTCAATAAGCAATAAACAAAAACTGAGATAATCGGTGTAGTGATCGGTGCATCGTTAAGCAATGAACAAAAACTTGGACAATCGGTGTAGTAATTGGGGTGTCGTTAAACAATGAACAACTGACATAATCGGTGTAGTAATCGGGTGGGTGTTAAGCATTGAACAATAAACTGACATAATCGATGTAGTTATCGGTGTGTTCTTAAGCCTTAAATAAAAACTGGGATATTCGGTGTGGTAATCCGCGTGTCGGTAAACAATAAACAAATCTGTGATAATCGATGTAGTAATCGGTGTGTCGTTAGGCCATAAATGAAACTGAGATAATCGGTTTAGTAATCGGTGTGTCGTTAAGCAACGAAAAAAAATAGAGATAATCGGTGTAGTAATTTGGGTGTCGTCAAGCAATGAACAATAACTGACATAATCGGCGTAGTAATCGGTGGGGTGTTAAGCATTGATCAAAAACTTTACATAATCGATATAGTTATCAGTGTGTCGTTAAGCCATAAATAAAAACTTGGATATTCGGGTTGTAATCCGTGTGTCGTTAAACAATGAACAAAAACTTAGATAATCGATGTAGTAATCGGTGTGCCTTTTAGCCATACATAAAAACTGAGATAATTGGTGTAGTAATCGGTGTGTCGTTAAGCAGTGAACAAAAACTAAGATAATCGGTGTGTCGTTAAGCAATGAACAAAAACTGAGATAATCGGTGTAGTAATTGGTGTGTCGTTAAGCAATGAAAAAACTGAGATAATCTGTGTGTGGTTAAGCAATGAACAAAAACTGAGATAATCGGTGTAGTAGTCATATGGGTTTTAAGCAATGAACAAAAACTGAGATAATTTGTGTAGTTTTCGTAGGGGTGTTACCCAATTCCAAATTAGTGTAGCATACGGAAATTTATCAAGGTAATTTAACATGTTTTGGTTTTCATTCTATGTTAAAACAGCTATATGTGAAACGTATAGATTTGAGGAGTTTTAAATGTAAATTGTATCTTGAACATGTAGCTCTCCAATTGTATCGGTTCTTAAACATTGTTGGCTTTCAAATATTCGACATCGTAAATTCCTGATGAAGGTTTACCCAGAAAAGCTCCTCGAACGCATGAAAATTATAAAGTGTTGTTTTAATTTTTAACAGCACTGGGTCGATACCGCTGCTAGTATTCTATTTATCCCCGAGAGTATAATCAGCTCAGTAGTCAGTATTTCGGTACTGAAATGATTTTTAACAAACTTTTGAAAAATTGCTCGTTAATAAATTTATAAATTATTTAGAAACTAAGGTTTCAATTCCCTCCGACAAAGCTGAATTAGATCAATTTGGCTATAAACTTTAGTTGTTTTTTTTTTGTTTGTTTTTTTTGGGGGGGGGGGGAGGGGTCATGTAGCTCTTCAACTAGTTCGGTTCTTATGCATCCTTAATTTTTAAATAGTCGTCATTGAGCGTTCCTGGCGAACAAAAATCATGAAAAGCGCTTCGGACGCATGAAATTTATAAAGTGTTGTTTTCAGGTTTTACGGTCTCCTATTAATTACAATAAAGGGTCATGCATTTATCAATATCATTAAATGTGTTTAATTTAAACAATTGTGCATTCATGTATCTGCCACTACCAAGAAAAATATATTAGAATCAGTCAACATTATTTCTATAAAATCATGTTTTTATAAATGCTTCAGAGAGAACCTGACTCTAATAGCACATAGCAAGAAATACAAAACGAGAGTAATAACAGGATAACTCAAGAGGTATGTAAACAAACATATTCTTTAAAAAAAACAGGCAGAAGATAAACTAATAACACCAAGCAAAACAAAAAAACGGACGACTCCACAAAACACTACATAGCAAACTAAAGATTGAGCAACACAAACCCCACAAAAAGTCTGGGGGTAAGTTTAGGTGCTACGGCAAAGTAAGCAGTTCCTGTTCCATATGTTGCCTGTACCAAATCAGAGATATGGCAGTTGTTTTGCACTTGTTCTGTTGATTGATAGCATTTGTTTTTGATTTTTGGACTTTGCCTTTTTGAACTTGCCTTTAAGTTCGGTATTTTTTTTTTTTTACTTTTTTGCATCCGTCATGTTGTTTGTGCAAGTGCATATCCTTGTTTCATACAATTATGTTTTTTTTTTTTTTTTAATTGTATTTTTGTGCAAATACAATGTATAAATATGAGTTTGTCACTGTAAAATCTTAATCTAAATGTAATAACTAAATGTTATAACAATAGAGAAGACTACATTTACTCGGAATATGTTATTACAATAAAGAAGACTACATTTACTCGGAATATGTTATTACAACAAAGAAGACTACATTTACTCGGAATATGTTATTACAATAAAGAAGACTAAATTTACTCGGAATATGTTATTACAATAAAGAAGACTACATTTACTCGGAATATGTTATTACAATAAAGAAGACTACATTTACTCGGAATATGTTATTACAATAAAGAAGACTACATTTACTCGGAATATGTTATTACAATAAAGAAGACTACATTTACTCGGAATATGTTATTACAATAAAGAAGACTACATTTACTCGGAATATGTTATTACAATAAAGAAGACTACATATACTCGGAATATGTTTGATTATCTATTATCATTTTTCAGATAATCAACAGACTTGAAAATCTGGAAGGTAGCTTAACAGAATTAAATACAAAGAAAATGGTTTGTAGTTTAAATAATTTAATTTTTTGTTTCTGATATTTTTGACATTTGACTTCAAATGCAATTGGCATCATGCTCATTCATAAGATAATGGTTTTCACTTTCGTTTACTTTAACGTTCAATGAAAAAAAAGACAAGATTAAATTAACCGTTAAAACAAAAGGATTGTTGTATGTGCTGCACAGGATGACCGCTGAGATCAAGGACGCAAACGTAGAAACATGCAAGAGAATATTTTGGATAGAGGAATTCACCTAAAAACCCCACAGAGAGTTGTTGAAAGAGTTAATTGAAAATGGCCCTGTGTATTTATACATATCGCACAGCCAAATGAACGTCCGACTTTAGTGAAGGTTTTAATTTAGGATCTGGTGAATTATTCGGATGACCGTAAATATTAACCCGAGTTTTGCTTTCTTTTACTTTTTATTGATATAATATATTTTCCATTCAGCATATTGTATTTCGATTTGATATTAGACAAAAAAAAACCCTTGAAAAAGGTAACCATCTATTACTTCATAATAACATATACAATTTTGTTTTTATCCTGTACGAACTAAGGTTGACTAAAATCAAAACTTTTTCATACGTATTTGTTTAATTATTTGCAGACTCGTGACTGTTTTATTTCATTGTATTTTAACAGTTGATAAGTTAGCTGCAACTTAAAGCACATATCTGTCCAATAAGGAAACACTTTCATAACTTCTTAATAGACATTCTAATTGATTTTAAATTCATCTTTGTTCTTTTACTTTTTCAGATGATGGACAAATTGCAAAGTATGGAAGAAAGTTTAAAACACGGTTCTAGAAATGATATGAATGGATCTTAGTCTAATGTCTTCTGTAGACGATCTGAATGATATAATCGTAGTAACAATACATCCTGAGTACAATATAGGGATTTGTAATGAGAGAGAACTGTGCTTTTTTTCTAGAATTTTAGATAGACCAATTTGAAATATTAATATGTTGATAGAGAATTGTTTTTCATTTAATCAAAATATCATGTTAAGTAAATGATTTTAACGTTCAGAAATGTTTTTCTCCAATATTTATGATACCGCCTTACTTATTGTATTTTACACCTAAAAAAGAACAAATGTTAGTTTTAACTGTACATTTTTTGCTGCCGACGTAGACATTGGATACAACACTCCTGGTAATTGAAATAACATTGACGGTACCCATTGTGCACCAGATGTGAGAAATGTATCTATTACTATCTATTGGCCAAAATATTTGAAAGCCTAAAATATAATACAAACGTTTAAGAGTTGTTAAAACCACAAATAGAACAAAAGTAAATTCAAAACTGGACAAGGAATCAAAGCTATCCACGAGGGAGAAAAAATCCTTTAATTAAAAAGAATTCAAAATTTTATAACAACAAATTAAAACAAAGCATGGTAGGAGTACTGGCTACTTAGCTAGTGATACTATCGGGAACAAATAGTCCACCAGCAAAAGTATCAGCCAAGTGGTAATAATAATATTGACGGTACCAATTTTACTGCTCTAGAAATTTTTGATAATCATAGGTTATGACATGATCCTTGTGGCCATGTTGTTACCGGACACTTTGTTCAAATACCGTGAGGTGTTGTGTTTCTACGAAAGGCCCAAAATTCCATCCACCTTTTAAAATTAACTGGAAGAGGTGTTTTGTAAACTCATTAACGCCTCCCTTTCCCCTTTCTGCAAATCATTCTGAAGACGAGATAATATTGATTATAAAGTTTTGATTCCTTGTTTTAAAAAATCATCAATTTTTGAAGATATTTTGTTTTAAATATTTCGAAAATGACCTAATACAAGATTTCTTCTGAAAGATGCCGAGACTATAGAACAAACTTTAGGAAAGCGTGTTGTGTAAACAACGTTTTCGTCGATTAACGTAAATACCTTACCGAAGTACTTCAACAACGACTGAATTAAAAGCTGCTACTGAACATCTCAAAGTTCCCATATGTATTTGCTTCCTAAACTACACGAGCACCTTTAATGATTTTTGTTTTACTAGAAGATGCCCGCGAATCGCGGTACAATTGGGCAAGTGTTAAAAACAAAGAGTTTTTAAATTTCGCGGGCTGTACGTCGACTGAGCATGCGCGAAAGCGTATAAGACACGGATCGATAACGGTCTCCGAATTTGGATATTTTCTCAAAAATTGGCGTTTTCTGTGGAAAAAAGATTGTTTCAAAGACAAATTTAGGAAGTACAAAACACTACATTTATACGTCATATCACAAATATCTCCGACTTTGTATGGTTTCAGAGGAGTTGCGGCTCAATGAAATCGGTTCCTTCCTTTAGTAGTATAGATATCTGTATTCAATAAGTGTTCACTTGTTTCGATTGTTCTGACTTGTTCATTTTCAGTTGTTAAAGAACTCGCTATGAAAAAAGGTGTAAGACATGGTTGGCACAACTTTTTGGTAGAATTGATAGGACGGCATAATTCCACATCAACAGGTCTGGAATTTTAAGCTTGTGGTCACTGAATGCGATCAGTCTTTAATATAACATCATTTATGATTATTTTTCGTTTTTTCTCCTTCTATTATACCTGTATTAAGGAGTTCAGTGATGTCCTGATCGCTAAAGTGTACTATTTGATGTGCGTATAGGTTGTCCATTGATCGAGAATAATTATGGGGAGGACTAAGATTTTGAAAATCTTGTTTAACGCCGCCTCATATTCGTGAACCGGTCTCTAGTCAGAAAAATCGTATTATGTTGTCTTGTTTCATATGTTAATGCTTTTAAAAATTATGAGGATAATTTTGTGTTTTATTTAAACACAATTTTCATCGCCTCCAAACCATTTTGAGCTAAAATATTGTTTAGACGTGTCAATTGTTTAAGACTGATGCCTTTTATATATCGTATGGTTATTTTTATCTCTGGATTGCAGTCTCGGTCATGTATTTCACGTCTTCTAGTTTTTATACATAAATGTTGAGGTTCCATAAATATTTATTTCCAAAACCGGTAAATGGAAAGAAATATAGAAGCTGTAAATCAACTCATCATAGATACCAGGATTCAAAATTTTATACACCAGTGACGCTCGAATAAAAAAAGTTAAAAAGGCCAAATAAAGTACGAATTTGAAGAGCATGTGCCGCTCAGCTAGGTCTGTGTGCATCTGTATCAATGGCCACACTCTAGCATTGTAGACTAGAATATAATTCCTCACTCAAATCTTTTATTTATTGATCTTGTATCGGTGATTATGTTTTTGCTGTTCACAGTGTCTCTCTGTCATCTTTAGTTTTTTCCCAAAGCAAAGAAAAAATGGAAAAAGAATTGTCATTCAAAGGCAAAAACATATATAAGAAGGCAACTAACAGTTTCATAGATGCTGACTTGTTAGTAGAAAAGAGGCGCAAAATACCAAAGGCTTGTTCAAACTCATAAACTCGAACTAAAAATGCCATGGCAAAAAAAAAACGAAAAACCAACAGTTTACAAAACACAACATTAAAAACTAAAAACTGAGCAACACGAACCCTACCAAAAAACCGGGAGATCTCAGGTGGTCCTGTGCTCAAAGGAGAATATTTTTGTATAAAAGACGAGGACGGACGCCAAGTTTTAGAAATAGTTCACACCGACCTGTTGGGCCAGATGAGCTTATAATTGACACTCTTGAATATGACAGATGTTTTCCATTCGTTCCAATGGTTGATATACGCGAGCGTTTGATTTTCTAAGGTTCTGTGGACTTCCCCCTTTTTGAATATACCTTGGAGCTCAGTTTTGTTTTGTAAATACTTTTTTGATTTATGCTCTGTTGATCTAAAAGTAATTTATATATAAAGCAATCCATCATGAAGTACCAGTAGAGGTGATTTTATATTCAATATATTCAATTTTCCTATTGTCAACCTCCCTTTTTTCAGCAGGTACTAACATATGCTCCATCGTATCGTATCAATATATCTCAGTTAATGCGTTACTCTTGTTCATGTTCACTTTATATGAACTTAAAAGGGGTGTGTTTCGTACGCAAATAAAACTATTCAACAGAACTATAAAGAAGAACAACAAAAATCCACTACATTAGATTTATGGTCACCATTACCAAAAGGTTGACAGATACAAGTTGTCGTTGTCTCAATTAACTAGCGACATGTTTTCTCAGTTTTAGATCTTTAGATACCAGTAGAGTCGTTTGATCTGTTATTCTATAGATTTTGTTCTATTCCCGATGTTGACGTTTGACTGAGTGTAAATTCGCATGGCTGGTGATACATAGCAGGAGATCTTACCTTATCGACCCACCCGGTGTCGCTCCTTTTGAAACAAAGGAAATCTATAAAATAGACCTACTTTAGACCTATCATTAGATAATGTGTTAAACATACTTGAAATAATAGGTTGAGTTAACTTTTTAATAAATAATTACATTTAAAAAAAAAATGCGAAAATGGGAAAACGTTGAGTAAATTAAATTATAAGAGAAATTAGTGTATTATTTTTAGGTGTCACTGTTACACAGTATGATTTTTTTTTAATCTTATGCAACCCGAGTAAATCCTTCAAATTGTAAGTAAACTTTTGAACATAATTCAAAGAATTTAAGATTTCTTGGTATCTTAAAGAAAAAAAAAAACTCCAATTCAAAAATAAAAACAAAAATGTAAAAAGGGCATATCATTTAAAAAATATTTCAATCTAAAACGAAATTAAGATGCCTATCTAAATAATTTCATGTTTATTGTTTTGACTATGCATAGTCTTTATATGTTTTTCACTGAATTTAAGTATTAATTTTTAACTATATAAACATATTTTTTTAAATTATAGTTTTCAATGATGGACTTTTTGTTTGGAAAATGATTAATAAAACTAAGGTTCAACTCCCTCAGGCAATGTTGACCATGGATGGATTTGGCTATTTTGTTTTAAAAAAAATTACATGACACAAGACAAATACAAGAACGTTGGTGGGACAAGGGATTTTGTTTAAACCAGGTCAAGTCTACTAAATATAATAACAAAATATAAAGAAATAACATTGTTCATTAGTAAATATTATCTGAATCTTAAACAAAGTATAAAATGATTAAACTGAGAATTTTGATTAAAGCTACAGAAGCATTGCCTATAATTGCTTACATCCACTTCATCTGAACTTTGGTGGATAGTTGTCTCATTGGCAATCCTACCACATCTCCCTATTTTTATATTTATCAATTATCTAACTTATATAATGACGTATAAAAAGAATTATGTTGTGAAATATGAAGTTCTTTAATATAGCCCCATAATTCGTAATACAATGTGTACTGTATTGTTACGTTTTACATAAACATTAACATTATTCCATCATGGCTTATTAAATCACGCATACATACAAATCAGAAAAAGACATGTTCATTGACTTTACGGACCACATGTATAAATGGGGATATTGGATAGCTCAGGGTTCGGGTAAACAGAACAAGAATAAAACGCTTAAAAGAACTATGCTTATAATTTGGTAAGCCATACACACGTGCCGTATTAAATCAAATTTGAAGGTCAAATCCAGTTCAAGTTAAAGAGGATTGACAAGCATAATTTCCCAAAAGATTCGAAAAAACGGTTTAGGTCATCGATATAAATGAAATGTGGTAAACTTGCCGATGAGACACCTATCCACCAGAGATCAAATGACGTAAATGTAAGGTATATACTGTGGATTCATTTCTTTTCGTGGGAACCAATTTTCGTGGATGAAGGAAAACTTACATGTTTGTGGATATTTAATTGTGTGGTTTTGCCGAAGTCTTCATACAAGCCTATAGAAAATTTGTCATTCGTTGAACATTTAATTTCGTGGTTCACCTGTACCCACGAATTCCACGAAAATTGACATCCAACGAATAATGCTGAATCAACAGTAGGTCGCAGAACAGCTTTCAAAATGTGCGAATTTCACACCTAATAATACGGTATAAAACATGACAAAGTTCAATTCGAACGAGAAATCCAACGGCCTGATAAACAAATTAAATAATAGACAAATACCAACTTCAACCTCCGATTCTCAGACTCCTTGCTTGAGAAAAACATATACAAAATG